TAAGTCTCCTCTTACTATAAAAGTAAAGAAAATCATGCAATGAGATGATCCTGTGGGGCTTTGGCACAGACATGCTTTCTCTCTCCCGAGGCGCCTTGCAGCCCCAGGCAGGCCTCGAGAACTTCGTCCTCAGCGGGCTGAGCTCTGTCCAGTCCTTTGGCTCCTTCCCAGATCAGTGCATCTTGACTTCCTCTCAGCCTTTCCAGTCTGAGTGTTCCTCCCTCATGGCCTTCACAAGCCAGTCCCGTTCAGTCTCCTGCTCAGAGTCACTCGTGTCACTCGCCTCCACGGCCAGCAGCTTCGAGTAGTTGATTTTCCGCTCTTGGGGCAGTCTCGGCTGGATGGACAGGAACAAGGCCAGCCAGAGCAGCAGGACCACGCAGCAGGCCTGGTAGAGCACAGCCAGGCTGAAGCGCATCACCACGAAGCCCCCCACAAAGCTGCCCAGGCTGGCCCCACCCCCATAAAAGTGGCCTCGGAACATGGCACTCAGAGGTCTCTCTGTTCTGGGAGTGGCCAGGTCCTCTACTGAGGCCCTGACTGCCCACCACAGAGCCCCGTTGCTGATGACACTCAAGACCTGAGCCGGGAGGACGGACCACCAGCTCCAGAGGAAAGAGTAGTAAAGCAGCTGCCCCACCAGGCAGCCCAGCCCCAGCCCCACCGTGCCCACCCTGGACAGTTTCCGTAGCAACGCAGCTTCGAACGGATGAAGTAGAATTTCCCCCAGCCAGCCCAAGGCGACTGAGAGCCCCATGACCAGCTCACTGCTACCAAGGTCTTCCATGTGCCAGAACAGAAAGTTCTGCACCGTGCTGGTGGCGGCTCCTATCAGAAAGACAGTGAAGGCTAGGAGAACGAGCCGGGGGTCGCCCCCTACCAGAGACAGTGCTTTGACAGTTTTGTAGTCGGGCTCCTGCTGCCTGCAGACAGGGATGGGAAAGGCAGTGCTCACCACTAAAGCCAGGATGCTGACCAGCGAGTAGCCGTAGAAGTGCACCACACCCTGGGCGCCATTTGTCATCAGGAGGCAGTCCAGCTGCCCCACCAAGGCTGTGATGCCACACACGCCTGCTGACATGCCCAGCAGCTTCCAGATCCACAGGCTTCTGTAACGGTCAGTGGCGTCCACAAAATCCAGGTATTCATAAAGGCTGTCGTCCGCCACCTGCTCCAGAGGGGCTGTCAGCAGCTCCCAGAACACCATGGACCCCAAGGAGAGGATGAAAGTCCACTGCAACCCTTGCAAGGAGAGGTCAAGGGCCCTGGCGTTCCCCTTGGCTGCCGACAAGTTGGCTGGACTTCCTAGCGCTGTGCTCCCAGCAAGCAAAGGGAGGGCAGCACTGACCGCCTTAAAAGAACCTTCCCAGGCAGTACTGTTCGCCCCTGACGTGACAGGATGGAGGAGAACTCCGGATGTGATCCTGGCTCCATCAACGGGGCCCACAGAGTAGCCAGGAAGATGACTGAGAGGTTCTTGGACACTTTCTCCAGGTCCTTTTCCGAAGCCAGAGGCTCCCACGATCCTGGTAGTACTCCTCTTGGCTGGGAGGCTGGGCGCTCCCGCTGGGTGGTTTGAGGCTGGCTCTTGGGCCGAGGTGATGGTCACAGTTAACGCGACCCCCGTCGGTGGGACTGTGGTGGTCACGCTGTGGCTTCCATTACAGGAGCGGCGCATCAGATCTTTGTCCAACGGCGGCACCAGGACCATCAACAGGCTGGCTCCCGCCGAGCCAAGCAGCGAGCCTATCAGAAGTGCCCTCCGTCTCTGGTAGCTTTTGGCCAGGAAGGCACAGAAGGGAGCCCAGACGGCTGCGATCAGGTGCTTGGCTCCCATTAGGAGGCCCACCCAGGGCGCGGTCAAGCCCAGCTGCCTCAGGTAGAGGGTCAGGAATGGGGTCACGCAGCCATCCCGGACCCCACACACCAGGTGGAAGAGCCTGGCCAGCCCTAGCGCCCTGCTGACGTCCCACTGGGGGTTGGCGCTCATGGCTGCCTCGCTCCGTCAGACTCGGGCCGGCGGAGGGCGGGGCTGCGCGCGCGGCGGGCGCGGCGGCGACGGCGGCGCGGGAGGGCGCGGGGCCATGTCCCCGGAGGGAGGCTCCGGGCGAGGAGCGAGTGGGACCGCGCCTCCAGCCTCGGACAGCGCCGCGGTCACCGGCTCAACGGCCGCCCCGCCCCCTCGTCCCCACGTCCGGCCGCCGGCCCGGAAGTGGCCCCGCCCGGAGGACCGGCGCACCTGCGCGGCGCACCTGCCATGTCCCTCGACCTCCTCCGCCCGGGGGCGGGGCGCGCTCGCAGCCGCACCGGCCGATGCGCGCAGGTGCGCGAGGGCCGCGGCTGCCTGTGGCCCGCAGGGCGCGCTCCAAGCTAGGCGCCTGGGGCCCTGCCGCCCATGCACCTGAATTATATCCCTGAACTGCTTCAGGCTCGTAAAACACTTGGGGGATGGGAGGAGCGAGACTGGAATGCCTAACATCCGCGAGGCTCCCTCCCTCATCTTCTTAAGGTTCTTACTCAAATGCCCCCTGATCAAGGACCACCCCGTTAACCTCAGGGACCGTTCCTGTCCACCCTAACTGGAATAGCAAACCCTACCCCCTCCCCAGACTCACACACTCCCTACCCTGCTTTATTTTTCTCCACAGCACGCATCACCATTTCTAGATCGCCTGTTTATCTTGTTCATGGTCTGTCTCCATCAGGATCAAAGCGCCAGGAAGGCAGCTATTTTTGTCCCCAGGGCCTAGAACTGTTTCATCGGAGGCGAGCTGCCCCTGGAAGAGGCATGACTTTGGGTGACAGAGTTTTCTTCAGCGGAGACGATCCCAGAGAGGGTCCAACAGCTGAGCGCTGTCTTGCAGCCACACTCCAGCAGCCATCCCGGCAGCCGCCCCAGCCCGGTAACAGTACGTATATATTGGATGGTTTTAATCCACACCTAAGAGTGCTCAGCTGTCCCACTGAGAACACACACTGCCGAGGTGGTTAGCCAACCTTTAATCAAAAGCCACACTCCAGGGGCAGCGAATAGGAGCATATCAACAATCTTAGATCAACTCAAGTGGTTTCGTTGATTAGCCTGATAGGTACTGGTGAAATTTCACTCGTGAAATTAGTGGTGTCCAAGTCACATGGGTTGGTTATAATTCTTTTGGACACATTTCTTCCCTTGGTGAGCAGGGTATAAGGATCTAGAGATTCCAGTAGTCCAAAGCCTTTGGAATGGTGCCGTAGGCTTTACTCCAAGATGGTCCAGTGTCCAGGCACTGATTCAGTGAACTTCATTGCAAGGTTTGTTCACAGCACCTAATTTGGCTGGAGGTGGGGGGTGAGGGAGGCCACTTGCCAACACGTGTCTGAATGTTGATGAAAGTAATAATGAGTTTTCATATATTGAGGCATATGGGGAAGCCATTCTGGTTTAAATCTGACTCGGCCTACAACTTGTTTTTCCCAGGGCAGCCTGACTTATGGCCCACCGAACATGCATTGTACATCAGCTTCAAACATTTTCCCAAAGCAAAGAATGCCCTCTTGAAAGATAGGGGTGCATGTTTCCCTTACTCTGACGCCAGTCCCAGTACTTCTTTGAAGATAAGCTTCTCTTCCCAGAGAACCAAGGTCAAGGTGACCTGCTGTGTATATGCTAAACTGTGGCAAAACATCTTGTGACTTTGGGAGAAAAAAATTGTATTCCTGTTATGCTTGATGTATGTTCTTTGTTCTAAAACGGTATATAGCCATGCTGTGAACTATGCTTCTCCGGAGTGCTTTCTTCCCTGGGGGAGAGAACACTTCCGGGCTAGTTCTCACATTTGCTCATTAAATATGCCTCTTATCTACAGATTGGTTATTGACTATTTGTGTCAACAGTGTGGAGCAAAATTTGGTCTATGACTTCCTTTCTTTGTAAGCTCGTAGGGAGACTGTTGGGGGAGGAGGCCCGGGGCCCTCACCTAACCCTAACAACTGGTAAACTCTGCAAATGTTTACTTAAAGACTCTAGTAATTGTGAATGCCCACCTTGTTATGAATCAGTTTACATCACCCTGACAGCAGAAAAAAAAATCTAGCCACGTTCAGGTAAACTCACTCAAATTCAGTGATATCAGTCATTTCTGGTTTAAAACCACCTCAGCCGCATTGGGTTCTGCAGGGGGCGACTTCAGTGGAGGATTTCACATCCATCCACCCTAGTCTTCACCAGTCCAGGGCTGCTCTCCACTGAGGAGCAGGCACTCTGCCATGCTGGTGTCAGTTGAAGTGTCCATGGTCCACATCTGGGCTTCAGGTCCTGTGATCCCAAAGCACCACACACAGCTGCACGTCTTCCCTTTTCTGTGAGACCCCTTGGGCTTGTTTGCTTTCAACTACCTGAGAAAACCCTACCTGCTTCCCATGGCCCATGGGGGCACAGGGACTCTCTCTCAGGCTGACCTTGGGCCCATGTGCCTAGACGCCCTGAGCAGCCCCTCTTACGTCATTCCCCAGGCATCGAGAATGTGCTCTGGGACTTGCAGGCCAAAAGTGAAGTGTCTGCCTCTCTACTTGGGATCCCCAAGTGTAGAAGGGATTCTTCCCCCACCGCACCCCATCACCCAGGACCTGGCCCAGATGACAGGGCTGGACTCAAGTCCAAGCCTTTGTGTTCTCTCTGTTGCTTTCCCCCCACCCCACCCCCAGTCCTGGGAGTCAGGGAACTGGTTCTGTGACACTAATCTTCCCTATTTTACATCTGGATATAAACTTTTGAACTCTAAAGCCAAGACTTTTGAAGGCTTTAATCTCTGGTCCTCTGAAACTGCCTTGCATTCCCACTTCTGTCTGGGGACAGTGCTGGTCGGGAGCCCTGAGTCACTGTGAATGAGGAGGGGAGTGGCAGGTGGACAGAACCCCCCAGTCAATACTTCACAAAATGCTTGTGTGGCCTGAGCGGATTCATTAGGTTCGATTAAGTACTGCCCCGATCTCTATTAAAACGCAAATATTGCTGGGTATTAGAGGAAAGCAGAAACACTTTAGTGTGTATTTATTGAACTTGACATTTTCCTCTCCACTGGGAGAGATGCCTACCTGGGAGTGGGGAGGAGGGCCGTGGCCCGAGAGAGGGAAGGGGACAGATTCGGGAGGGAAGAGCTGTAGTCCCCTTTGCCTTCCTCCCACCTTCCCCCAGGCCACAGAGCCCTGGCCAAAACAGCAGCTCTCACGTTGGTTTAAGGGCTGGGTGGGGAGCTTGAGTGGGAGAAGACGGTAGAAGAGGTGGGAATTGAAAATCAACAAAGGAGTGGTCACTGGTGCAGGGAGCTGGCCTTTGTGTGTGCACAGCTCTGCCCGCCCAGCCAGCCTTGGGCTTCATGTGGGCCCTGCTGCATCCCCTGCCCACAGCCAGTCTCCCCGTGTTTCGGCCACTCACCGGCTCCTAGACATGGCCAGAAGCTGCCCATGGGAGCCGCGCCTTGCTCCGGTCACTGGGGGCAGGTGGGGTAGTGTATCTTCCTCTTGGGCCCGCCATGCTCAGACTCAGTGCTTCCTCTGCCCCTTTGGGCTCACTGGACGATGCCCGAGAACGTGTTGATGGGCATTAGAAGGGGCTTGGGCATGGCCCTGGTCCTTTCCATCTCCTTCTGCTGGTGCGAACTGAGCCACAGTGCCTTGGATTTCTGAGTCCCAGAACATGGCTCAGGGCAAGGAGCAACCTCGAATCTGTGGGTGGAGAGAGGCCAGCTCAGGAGGCCCAGGTCAGGGGTCAAATCTGCTCGGGTGTTTTAAAGGTAGCCCTTTATCCTTGGGCACAGAGGAGGAGGCCTTGCAGAGGGAAGAGGATGGGTCAGGACAAGAAAGAGCACTCTGGATCTGGGGCGAACACGGGAGAGGAGGCCGTGCCTGGCTGGGTCACTCTGTATGCCTGGCTTACCCGACCACATCTCCCCGGGGGGACCAGTAAGAGTTGCATGAACTGGGGCACAGCTGGCACACAGCTGGGTCAGCCTGTGTTGCAGGGGCCAGTGGCAGCACAGGGGACTGGATCAGGAGTGCTGTCGGCTGAATGTATGTGGAGGAATCTCGGGAAACTGTACTATCGGCTGCTGCCCAGGGCCAGCCATTCATTTGCTCTTCTTCCTGGATTCAACTGCTTAAAGGACCTAAGTCCCCACCCACTAGGAACACTGCCTGGCCTCAGGATCTGCCTCTGAGAAGGTGTCCTGGGCAAGAGGCAGCAGATGGTAGGGACTGGCTGCTGCTTAGCTTGCCCCATGGGACGTGGAGCCCTAGAGGTGGCAGGCCTGGCCTCACCTGACGACGTCCCTGAAAGTGCGCCGACTGTCCTTGTCTAGCAACAGCGTCAGCAGTCTCTGGTCCTGGCTCTGGATCCGGATGTTGGCGGTTCGGAAGGTGTTTGTCACCACCTGCAACAGAGACAGCTTGTGTGAGTGTTGCCTTCATGACAGATGGCCCTGCCAGCATCTCCTACCCTGGACTCTGGTGTATTTCTTCAGTCCAGCACACGGGGTCCCCAGCTCTCTTCCTGCAAGTGATTCTGAGCAGTGACAACTCTGCAGAAACTGCTTCTAGGCTGCCCTTGCCCTTGGGTCTCTCATTGTTTCTGCAGTTCATTTCCTAGTCTGTTGTCCTCAGTTCCGAACACCACCTGGAATGCTGTGGCTAGGCCTTGCCAGGTTATCAAGTTACCCGAGCGCCTCCTACATGACAGGCATGTTGTTATGTGTGCAATTTGGGGATATGTCAGGGGTTTTATAAGTCCTGACCCCAGTTCTCGGTGTTGAGTTACATACACATTACATATTTCCCTGGGGCAGAGACAGAGGGCAGAGACAGAGGGTCTAGAAAGTGGCCACATACCCCCATGACTCAGACCAGGCATGTATCAGTTTGTACCATGGAATCGCCTGGGGGCCAGATACAGGTGGAGGGAATCCATCCTCTGCACAGAGAACCTGGGGCAATGTGTTCCTCCCCTCCCCACCCCAAAGCCCTGTGTGGCTTCTCTAGAAAGTTCCCAGGACCAAAGGAAAGCGGCCCCCAGGCAGCCCTCTGACCCCCCAACTGAGGGGGTCACTCCTGAGAGGCCCCCTCCCACTGGGCAGAGAATTGGGAACATTCCAGGTGGGGCCTTCCGAGGGCCTTTGCAGGCTGCTGGCCCATACCACACACTTTGGGTGATCCAGCACCCCAGAGCTCAAGTTTCTAGAGCCTTGGAGTCCATCTCATTCAAGTTTTCTCAACCCTGGCCGCTCATAGGAATCATCTTTCCAAAACATAACATCAGAGGTTCTGATTTAAGCGTCTGGAGTGGAGCCCAGGCAGGGGCGTTTCTAATAAGCTCCCTATTGTAGGCAGGCCTTCGAACCACTGAGCTCATTCACCTTGTCACTGTCTTAGAGCAGAGCCACAAGCAGCAGCCCAAACCGGGGGTCAAGCATTTCTGCTAAACTTTTGTGGAGGTGGGGTAGGCCAGCCAGAAGCCTGTGGGCAGAGTGTGCAAGAACCTCCTGGGAGGAGGGTCAGAGCCCGGACTCCAAGGCGGGACCGCTCCGGTGCTAATCCTGATGCTGCCACTTATTAGCTGTGTGCCCTTGGATGTGTTAATCTCTCTGTGCTTTCGTTTCTCATCTATTTAGAAAAAAATATGGTAATAATAGCAACTGCCTTGTAGGACTGTTGTGAGGATGAAAAGAGACAGTGTGTGTTACGTGCCTGGGACATGGTACATGCTGTATTAGTATTGGCAATTTACTATTATTATGATTATTAACTATAATTTCCCAAGAAGGAGCCAAGCATGAGTAATGGCCTCAGCTGTCAGAGGGGAAGGGGAACCCCATATGGATTCTTTCACTCCTCAGTCTGTCTCCTACACCAAGCCTCCTCCTACCATCACTCCATTCATAGACTCATGTGAGTCTGAACAGGTGGGTTGTGAGTAAAGACAGAAAGATTTACCAAGATCTCAGTAAGACAGAGGGGAACACAAGGGGAGAGGGGACATCGTGGTGGGCAGTTGTGGCCGGGGATGTGGGGACAGCCAGTGGAACCTAGTGGACACTGACCAGACAGCTAGCTGGATGATTGTGAGCATAGGATGTCATCTGTGACCTTCCAGAAATACCTGGAGAGACTGCAGTGAGGCTGGGGGTTGGGGAAAAGCCAGATGCCTTCAGTTTACGATGGTTAATGGGACCCCAGCTGGTGAGGGAAACTCGATGGTCCCATAGAGGAGGGATTGAAGGGGGCCCACTGAAGGTTTCACAGGGGTAGGCATGGGACCCAGCTCCCTGACTCCCGACTTGATGCTCTTTCTCCTGCATCGGGCCACTCTAGGTGTCTCCCGGCAGGATCTGGGCCTCCACGGCCCTGCCTTCTAGATAACCAGAGGCAGTCTCGGGGCCTCATCCACCTGCCCACAGTGCAGGCAGATGCCTTTGTTTCCCCTTTGTGGACTGCACGCCTAGACACACTTGACCTGCCTGGTTTTGGCCTGTGAGGACCACGGGAGTCTTGGATTTCAGTCTAGAAATGCAGCTGCGGAGGCCAGTTGAAAGGGCCAGGTGCAGAATCTGCAAAGGGCCCCAGTCTCAGCTCACGAGGAGATGAGCATAATGCTGCCAGTTATTCTCTGTTGCTGGCTTCCTGCCTTCCCTACCCCAAAGCCCGGTTCTACCATTCCTCACTGCTTTTCTATATCAAACTTCCAGTCCAGCCCAAGGAATATCATTGCTGCCCCTTAATCTCACCAATCCAGCCACAATGCCCGTGGCCTGCAGTCCTGCAAGCCTGGGCAACCTTCGCTCTAGCTCACCATGAACTCCCCCTGCACTCAGTGTTTATCATTTCATCCATTGGGACAGAACCTGCAGACAGACATGCCTGGGTTCGAAGAGGAAAGCACTGGAATTTCCCCCAGCAAGTCAGTGCAGGGGTAAAAGAGAAGCTGCTGGGGCAATAAGTTTAGATTTTCAAATAGCCCACAACCAGGCTGTTTAAAGAGGTCGTTAAAAACGGAAACCATTGTAAGGAACTGATTTCGAAAGAGGAAATATGTAAGGGTAAGTGGGTCCACCTTGCAGCTTAAAGCTTAAATAGAGAGCTGTCCTCTAGGAAGGCAGAGTTCAGCTCAGTACAGGCAATCTCTCGGCCGGTCAGACCCCTCCTGCAGTGGATAGGCTGCCTCAGAACAAGTGAGCTCCCATTCTGGGATGAGATCCTGTGGAGGCAGAGGTTGGAGTAGATGACTCAGCAAATATCTGGCGCGCTCCTGGTGTGGGCCAGACACCACGCTGAGTGCTGGGGAGAACACGAAGACTCAGACGAGGGCCTGAGCCCTGGGAGCTCACAGTCCGTTGACACACAGAGATCATGTCATTTATCATCTTGCAAATGCTTCCATGGCTGCGTCCCCAGGGCTCTATGGGAGCACAGAGGTGGGGCAGCTAGCTCTCCAGGGAGTGGGGACGGGGTGAGGTGGAGGATGCGGGGGGAGGCGAAGGGCATCAGAAGGGTCCCCTGGGGGAGATGACACCTGAGTTTCATCTTGAAGGAGAAATAGAAGTTACACAAAGAAGATGGGGAAGGGAAGGGAGGAATGTGGTTTCAGGCCAAGCAAAGCGCATGAGCAAAGGCCCGGAGGTGTGACTGCCGGAACACTTCCAAAGGCCACGGTGTAAGGGCCTGTAGGGGGCGGCTGGAGCTGCGGACAGAGAGGAAGAGGAGCCAAGTTGTGCAACACTGAAGAGTTTTTCTGCCCTTCTGCCATGGAGAATGGGAAGTGACAGAAGGGTCTGAAGCACAGAATGACATGTCCAAGTTCTGTTTTAGACAGATCATTCAGGGAGAGATGTGGAGGGTGGACTTAAGAGATGCGGAGGGTCTCCCCGACATCGGGGACACCAGCTGGGAGATTACTGTGTTTGTCCAGGAATAGGGCATGGATGATGGTCTGGACCAATGGTGACCAACTTGTCCTGATTTGCCTGGGACTTTCCTGGTTTTAGCACAGATGGTCCCACGTCCTGGAAAACCCTCAGTCCTGGGCAAACTGGGACATGTGGTCAACCTAACTGGACCAGAAGAACTTCGGAGGATGAAGAGGAAGGGAACAGTTTGAGAGTGTTTGAGAGAGAAAACCAGCAGCACCCGGGGCAGGGAGGAAGAGGAGGCATCTGAGATGACTCCCAGGTTTCTGGCAGAGGTGACTAGTTGATGACGGTACCATTACATGAGAGACAGGACATAGGGGAGGAAGGGATGAAATAAAAACAACCGCCAACACAAACAGATCTCTGACTTGGCCAAGCACTCTTCTAAGAGCTTTATATGTCGCAATCATTTAATCCTCACAACAACTGGATAAGGTAGGGACCCTTGTTATCCCCATTTACAGATAATGAGACTGAGGCACAGAGAGCCTGAGTGACTTGCCTGAAGTCACGTAGTTGGTAAATGGCAGAGCCAAGATCTGGACCCAGGCAGTCTGGCTCTAGAGAGCTCTTAACTATTAGAAAGCACTGGCTTTGGTTTTGAATATCTCGAGCCTGGGGTGTTGTGGGATATCCAGCTCATGCTAACTTAGTTGAATGCAGGAGTTAGAAACTCAGGGGTGAATGTCAGAGCAGGGCCTGTAGATTTGGGTGTCCTTAACAAATTAGACCAAGACTGTGTCCAGGGATTTGATAGTCCAGGGAATAGGAAAAGAAGTGGGCCGTGGATAGAAGATGAGAACAGTAGCTATTTAAGGAATTATTTTAGGAAAAAGAGTCCAGGGAAAGGAGCTGAGAGTAACAATCAGATCTGTAGGAGACGGACTATGAAAAAATGGTGACTCAGAATTCACAGATTCAGGGAGCTGAAAGACTCAGAGAACAGGGCTACCGCTCTAGTGGTGGAACTCATTCACAATTGATCAAGGGAAGAGAAAACTAGGGGAAACATCTATGGCAGGGTCGCAAGCCAGCTTTATTGGAGTATTAACATATAAATATAGCTTCAAATATAAATATTTTCAGCTCAAAGGGAACCACTGATAGAAAAAGATAACTTCCAAATCATCAGAGGAGGAAAAATAAGCAAGCAAAACCCGAGCAAAAGAAACAAAAAATAGTAAAAAGCATTAAAAAAATTAAAAAGCACAACGTAAGATGGCAGAGTAAGATCCAACAGCATATAACGTTAGTGTCAATGGCAGAGTGTCTGTTTTCTCATTCCTTTCCCCTTGTAATTTGCCTCAAAACAAGGAAGGGCATCCTTGAGGAAACTAGAAGACACCTAAAGCCCTAAACCACAATATTTGAACACAGAGAGAGGAAGATCAAACATGAGGATCAAAACTCTGGAAAGACTTCGGAACTGGAGGCTACAGATTCACAGACGGCGGGAGGAGATGGAGCCTGGCAAAGGGGAATTGACTGACAGGTGGTCCAAGGGGCAGTTGGATGCTTCGGGTTCCCTCTCTCACCCTCAGCAGCCAAGCAATGAGCCCTCCCCGCCACGGAGATCAGAAAAACTGAGCCAGAGAGACTGTGGACCTGGGGACGCCACAGCTGGAGCAGGACGGAGTGAGGTGCTGTAGTCCACACAGGTGGATGACATGAGAGTTTGCTCGCTGAATGGCGAGAGCTCTAAACCCCTCACCCAGCCCAGCTCCAGAGTACAGACACCAGCAGTCCTACACCCGCTCCTGCCCCGCTCATGCCCCAAGGCAGGAGCCTGTAGAACCCTTTTCTGGAAAACGAGACTACCCTAGCAAAGAGACTTGCAGATACTGACATTTGGATTTGCCCCATGGAAAGGACCATGGCCTTCTGACTGCCTCCTGAGCAACCCAACATTGACTCAGCTTTTTAGCGCCCTGCTCTTAGATGCGAATGGAAGGCCAAGGATCAGCAGATATTTGGAGACAGCCTCTAACATTAAAAAAAAAAAAGGTGGGGGGGGGGAGATCTAATCAAGTGAACAGAAAATAGGAATTCAGAGGAAATAGATGCACTGCAGGGAGCAGAAGAAAATTCCCAATAAACCATAATTAATATCTTCAGAGAGATAAAAGAAGATGCTGGATCAATGAAGCAAGAACAGAATGCTATTAAAAATGAATAACCAGGAAACAAGAAAGAATTCTTGAAGTTTAAACATTCAATAAATGAATTTGGAGGAAAATCCCAAAACTTGAAGAAAAGAAAGGGAAGGACAGCAGGAGAGAAAAGACTAGAAAGTTAGAATCTCACCCTTGGAGGCCTAACGCCTGACTGTCTGTAGTTCCAGAAAGAGACGGCAGAGAAATAAAGGGAAGGAAATCGTTTTTAAAGTTATATTAAAAAAAATCTCAGAACCAAAGGATTGCATTTCCAGGCTGAGAATATCCTTCAAAGGTCCAAAATAGTGAATGAAAAAGTCACTAAGGCATATTCTTGTGACTTTTGAGAGCCCTCTGTGAAATTAAGTACGTATATGACAAATAAGGGTCTGGTGTTCTCATCAAATAGGGACACCACGACATTAATATAGGATGAGAATATAGACAGGAAATACACAAACGAAGAAATAGAAGTTATCAATAAATACAATAAATTCTTCAACTTCATTAATTGGTAATGAAATGAATACAAATTGAAATAATGAAAACTTTGACAATCCAATTTGCAAAGATGAAACAATTAGTCAATGTGCTAATTGTGCAGCGAAACTGGCACTTAAACACCACGGTGAGAGTGGAATTTGGTATAGACTTTCTGGAGGGCAATTTGACAAAACATATCAAAAATCCTAAAATATGGATGCATTTGACTGAGTGATATCACTTCTAGGCACTTTTTTAAAAAGGCATAACCATGATTTTTGGCACATATTTATCCCTAGGTATGTTCCTCACAGTATTGCTTATAGTAGTGAAAAACGAGAACTTACTTAAATGTATTATAAGAAATCAATTAAATAATTACACGGGCATATGCAGCCGTCATTTATTAAATATTGAATGAAATATATTTTGTGACATATACAAGGTCCTGCCAAGGCATATTCACAATGCCTTAGTATGTTTTTGAGTGCAAACATCAAGTTACAGATCAGTATGTATGTAGCTATCAATTAGGTAAAAATATTTAGAAAAAAAGCTGCCTGAAAATGTTAACAGTTGGGGCCGGCCCCATGGCTGAGTGGTTTAGTTCACATGCTCCGGTTTGGCGGCCTAGGGTTCGGATCCTGGGCGCGGACATGGCACCGCTCGTTAGGCCACGCTGAGGCGGCGTCCTACATGCCACAACTAGAAGGACCCACAACTAAAATATACAACTATGTACTGGGGGGGATTTGGGGAGAAAAAAGCAGAAAAAAAAAAGAAGGTTAGCAACAGTTGTTAGTTCAGGTGCCAATCTTTAAAAAAAGAAAACAAAAAAGTTAACAGTCATCCTCTCTGGGTGATGGGATTGCTAGTGGATTTACTTCTTCATGCTTTTTTGTAATTCCCAAAAAATATAACTAAACTTTTGTTTATAGGTTAAAACATTATTTTTAAAAGGGTGGATAAAGAAACATAAGGACTAAAAAGTGACCTTTGGTCTTAGTGACATGGAGGTGACTTTGCCACAGTGGGGTGGGCTGTGATGGTAGTGGGTAGGACAGTCATTGGCTACGGACTGGAAACTCTTCTAGAAGGGTTTTCAAGAAGCTTGACTGAGAAGGGAAAGAAGGAGATACAGTGGTGGCTAGAGGGGTAGCTGGGTCACGGTGGAGATTTTTCTTTCTAGGATGGAAAGGACCTGAGCATGTTTATAGGCTAAGAAGAAGGAGCAGTAAGGAAAGGGAGGGCAAAGCTGGAGAAAAGAGAACTGACAACAGCTGCAGAAGAGCCCAGAGGAGATGGAAGGGAAGAGGGTTGAGCGATGCCCACGATCTGGTTGAGGTGGGAGGTCATAGGTTTGCTGTGGCTCTAACTACATGGATGTAGTATTTATTCCAGAAGGTCTCAGCAACCTGAGCATACAGACAGAGTAGGTGGCTTGATCTGAAGTGAGTGTCTGCCTGGTGGGTGGTATGGGGGAGTTGAGGGTGTCTGAGTACAGGGTTCAGGTGTAACATGGGACCCAAGGACCAGCTGAGAAGAGAAGTGAAGTCTGGAGAGGCCATCAGATAGGGAGAAAATGGCTGGGCCCTATGTCTGTATCAGTAAGGGAATCTAGATCAATAGTTACCAATAAGGGCAAAGGGAAAGGGCAGCAGTGGGGGCCATGAGGCTGAAAGAGCTGGTTTGATTTGGTCAAAGGCTGGGCTGTTGTTTAGGGGTCTGGCTGCTCTGTAGAGCAGGGGGATGACAACATGCATGCATTTTGTAGTTAGCTGGGTGTCTTAGGTCCTCAGACGGCCAGTAAGTAGAGGGCAGAGCTTACTTCATAGTGCCTTACTTATGCCAGTTGGTGCTCCATATTTCAAACAGATTGATTGGAAAGCAGATTCTTCTTCAATCACAAAGGCCCACTTCAATAGCAAAGGCTCCGAACGGCTCTGAAATCCCTTTCTCTGAACACCCTCCCCGCTGGGCTCCCAGCCACCTGCCTGTTTGAATATCCTCAGTTGCCGTTCTACCCAGTACTTACAGAGAAGGACCTTCCTGCCAAGTTGGAGGTCTTGACAACCTCTGTCACGCTGACGTTCAGGCATGTGTGGTCTGGAAGGGGAGCAGCAGTTGGGGGGCAGTGGGTGGGCCCTGAAACTGGGAGGAATGAGATGGGGGGTGGGTGGCTGTGAATGGACCTCCAGGGAAGTAGAGGAATTGGAGATTCTAGGTCCTAAGAAGACCTCCATGGACCCACCCAATTTTAATCCCTGCCCATGCCTGTTCAGCCCCCACTTCCTGACTCCACCTTGGTCCTAGCCAAGTTCCCTCCTGATCATCTACCTCCCTTCCCTGGTGAATCCACAAAGTTTTTGCATCCTCAGGCATAGCAGCCATCACCAATCTCAATCCCTTTCTTCACTTCCTTCTGAACCCCTTTTTCAATGGAAGAAAGTTATGTTGAAGTTCCCCACAGCTACTAGGCATGCTAAGAATGGAAGGAACACCTGGCCCAGGAGGTTACCCAGGAGGTTATCTATAGCAGAGGCACCAAGGAGGTGTAGGAGGGCGCTGGTCCGAACAGGTTGAGAGCGTTTTCTTGACTTTCATGATAGTGCATAATGTGTCAAGAATCATTATTGTGTGACTGCTACCAAGCTTTCTTGTTCTTGTCCTTCTCTCTCTGTCTGCTCTGCTTTCCCAGCTCCTCACCTTCAGTGTCACTGCCTGGAAGGGCCTTCAGGACCAGCCCAGTGGCCCGCAGGGAAACGGTGACCTCTTGGGCCCGGTGGCTGAGCAGGGCCTGGAAAGGAGGATGCAGGCACAGAGGGGGGTCCTCAGGACTACCCTGTCCCCATGCATCCTCACGTCAACAGTCTCGCTTCCATCCCTGCCCCAAGAGTCTTGTCTGTGTCATTAATGTCCAACAAGGGGCTAGGGGACAAAGGCTTAGAGCATTAGCCCCAGGGGGTATGTTTAGCCTTCTAGACCCAAAGGACGACATCTCCAATGCATCTGGTCAGCTAGTGACGAAGGTATTTTTGAGCTGAGGGACAGCCCCTTTGTTCCTTAAATCAGATCCCCTCTTCATCTACATGTAAGGCCACGCATAACCCTCCCATCCCTGCAAAACTCTCCAAAGGCTGGGAAACTGGGGGCAGTGTCAAGAAAAGGGCAGAAGTTTCCTCTGGCTTTGTCTGCTTCCCCCGCCAAATGTCCCTGACACCTGCTTCCAGCTGTACCTCCTGACCACGCCCATGCCCACTGACCTTCTGGTAGCAGATGGAGAGCTCAGCCCCTGGGCCCTCAGCCACGCCTTTCCTCCTGGGTGAAAAACCATCTGGGGGATGAAGAGAATTGGTGAAGGTGGGAGGTGCCCATCGCTCCCCACCCGGCTTCCCTACCTCACTGAGCTGGTAGCTAAGCTGAGGAATTTTCACAGCATCTCTCCCTGGATGGAAAGGCAGCACCCCTGAGGTGAGCTTGGAGGGAGCCAAGGGCACCCTGGTACTCAGCAGAGATGGGATGGAGGGATCATTAGATGAGAAGTGGGAGGATGTCCTGGAAATGGGGCTTGAGGAAGCTGAGTCAGGGTGAGCTTTGCAAAAGGGGGAGCAGATGCTCACCTTTGGGGAGTTTGGAGTCTTGGATCTTCACCGTCAGTTCAGTGAGGAAAATGTCCTCTGGAGGGTCTTGGCTCAGGTCACCGAAGAAGATCTGGAGGGAGGGGAGGACAAAGGAGGTTTGGAGAAAGCTGACTGTCTGCCAGAGGCAGCTCCCCCTCTGAACCCCTGAGCCCAAGGATGAAGATGGTTGGGGAGCGTCCAGAAGCAGGGCAGGGCTCCTCCCATCCCTTCTGCTAAGGCTAGATTCTGAGCTGCATCCATTGATTATCTGGGTCTGACTTTGTCCATTTCTACAGAAATATAATATATGTATAAACAGTAGAATAAACTATTATTGAAACCCAAACTGCCTGTAACTACTACTGTCTAAATGGGGAGGGCAGGAGCAGGGCACAAAATTCACATGGAGGGGTAAAAAAATCTCTTGTAGACACCGGTAGGGGAGGATGAAAGGGTGAGGGCCAGAGAGGAGAACTTGACAGTCCTCGACAGGCACAGAGAAGCCTGGGGCCGGGGGAGGGAAGGGCTAGGGAGAGCTGACTGCTCTCGTGAGATCCAGGGGAAATTTGGGGGGAGGAATGGCTCCCGAAGGAAGAGGGGCAGAGAAACGGGGAGAGGCAAGGTGTGGGCAGGGTGGGGCGAGAGAGAGGATGTCGGAACAACAGGGAAGAGTGGCCACAGGATTTTTGAAAACAGGGATGGAGAGAGAGAAAAGTGGCCTCAGAAAGCTGGGTGCTGGCCTGGCACTCACAGCGAGGCCTTCGTGTTCTCCTGTTGCCTGTGAACAGTTTCACAGACGCCAACACTGTTAGGCAAGGTCACTTGGTGACCGAGATGGGTCAAGACAGAAACCTGACCACGCCACAGTTACATCCAAACACAGGCAAAAATGTGAACACCATGCAGGCCACACCCTCTACTCTTCTATCCCCGCAAATATGAGCAACTGATGCTCCTCAGAATCAAAGGATTATGGTGAGAGTACTGAGATGCCCAGTTGTAGAATGACTTCTACTTCCTGACAGCATCTGATCCACAGCGAAGTCCTGCTTTTTGGAACCATCCCCCAAATCACCCAACATAAGCCCGAATCCTATAACAGGTTCTTTCTAACAGCCTCTTGCTGAGATGCCTCATGGCGCTCCGTGGTGTGCGCTCCCCTCACTGCAGCAAGTCGGCAAACCCAGCTCTGTCCAGACACAGGTGTGCTCTGGGGCCTTTGGCCGAAGGGCACCAATGGATGACGAATCTTCGATTTCAAGTTATTTGCATTGCTGAGATGTTTACTCCCTTCACCAGTCTCAGAGTTTTTTTCCATTTGTTTGTTTTGTGTTGCTTTGGTTTGTATTTTGGAAATCAAGAAAAAGGCCTAAATCCCTCATTTAGGTCAAAACAGGGAAGGCGATAAAGAAAAGACCTATCACAGGTGCAGAGTGAAGAACAAGAATTCAGTGAGACAGGAGGCTGGAGGCGAGGCGCCGTGAGGAACAGGCCCCCAGGCACTCACAGAAATCTCAGGGGGACTGGGTCTCCCCTACGACGTGGACTGGGGAGCCAAGCAAATATTCGTTAGACTTTTACTAGCAGGGTGACCCCAAGTGAATTCCGGGATCACTTATCTATGTCCAAGTCTATATCGCAGAGGTTTGCTGCGGGAATATGAGTGGGTTGGGTCTCTGGGTGAACAGGAGCACAAAGGCATGAAGGAACAAGGGTTGGAGACCCGGGGGGGCTAGAGTCCCTTTTGTTGAGACCTTATTCTGCACTGGACCCTCTGGCAGGCACTTGACACACACGATCTCATTTATCCCTCACAGAAACCCTCGGAGGTGGGATCTCAGCCTCATCTTAGGGATCTGGAAACTGAGGCTTGGGGTGTTAAGTAACTTGCCCAGGGTCACAGGCTGCAAAGCTGGGGCTTTAATGCGAGTTCTCAAGGACTGGAATCCTTCGTGGGCTCACCTCCTGGCCCTCGTCTCCCCCATCTCTTTACTATATCTTTCTACTCATCTGAATTCTCACAAAAACCCTAAGGAAGGTGAAGATTACTATTCCCATTTTAAAGACAGGGAAAATTAATTGTAGAGAGAGAGGTGGAGCCCATGATCACGCAGCCAGCAAGCAAAGCCATGCACTTTTTATAATCCCACATTGCCTCTAACTCCACACGCACTCCTCCTGGCCGGTCCTTCAGTACCACGTCGACTGGTCCTCCGATTTACACACACACTACTTATTGTGTTAATAGCAGGAGATTCAAAGATGAACAAAGTACAGTCCCTTATCTCAAGGGACTCACAGTTTTGGCGGGGAGCGACACATGTCTGCAGGTATATGGTAGGTACAGTGGTAGACGAGATGCCAGAGCTGTGCCCAGAGCATCATGAAGTCACAGAGGAGAAGCACCACTCTGGGTGGGAGGTGAGAGGACCAGAGGTGAGGCAGTTTTGCTGGAGGATGTGAGGAGGTGAGGTGGGGGAAAGGTGGGCGTTCCAGGTTAGGGCACAGCATGAGCCAAGGCTTGGAGGTGGCAGCATCAGGGCATGTGTGGAAAACGAAGACAGAATGAAGGGGCAAAGAAGCATCTCTGAATGTGACAGAGAAGGGAGGGAGGTCAGAAAGGTGAGAGGAGAACCAGGAGAGAGGGTCACAGAAGTGAAGGGCAGGTGGGCTTCACGAAGCGGGAGATGCATGCCTTGATTCTTGTAAGTGTGACACAGACCTAGATGTTTTACATTTAATTGTATACACAAAGGAAAAAAGTGTAGTGGTCCACTGTGTCCAATGCAGTAGGGGGCCCAGTAAGAAAGGACAGAAGGACATCCTTCAGGCCTGGCAATTTGGAGGTCACTGGCAAGAATGGTTTTAGAAGAGCCAGACCGCCACGGTTTGGGGATCAAGTGAGACATAAGGAATGGCCATGGTGAATCAGACGGTCTGACCCCACACCTCCGGCTCCGGGTGGACGCGTGACCCATCTCCTTGGTCACAGTGATGGGTATAGGGCTAAGCACTTGCCTTAGTCCTGGGACTTTTGCTGCAACTATTGGAAAAGGGAAGGCCTCTTTTCACTGGGGTTGCTAAGCTAGAAAAATGTGGACCTGGAACTGCTGGGGTGGTCTTGTCACCAAGATGAGAGACAAAGCGAGCGAGAGAGGGGCGGTGCTGACGACACTGTTTGAGCTCTCAAATCCAAATTTTCTGAAGCCACATCAACCCTGCACTTCTCAGCAATGTGACCCAACAGATTTTCTCCTTTTCTTGAACCGATTTTTAAGATTTCTGTTACTTGCAACTAAAAGAGTCTTCCCCAATACAAAACTGGAACTCAGAGTGGAACTTTGTAAGTGAAGAGGACAAAATGAGGAAGCGACCGAGTCCAAGCGGGTGAGGGCAGTGAGGATCCGTCCACCTCTGGCTGGACATTTGGGAGTCCCCACTGTACAGCCGCGCTGCCCGCCATCCCTCAGGACTCAGACCATGTGCCTGCTGAGGCCGGGGCTTCAAGGAGCTACATAGAATAAAGCCAGGATGTAGGTGTGTGTTGGCCACTTCCTGTGGTCTGCAGTAAGGGTCACTAAGAAAGCGACAATGGTCAGTAGAAGCCAAATTGCCAGGCCCGAAGGATGTCCTTCTGTCCTTTCTTACTGGGCCCCCTACTGCACTGGACACAGTGGACTTTTTTCCTTTGTGTATACAATTAAATGTAAAACATCTAGGTCTGTGTCACAATTACAAGAATCAAGGCATGCATCTCCCCCTTCGTGAAGCCCACCTGCCCTTCACTTCTGTGACTCTCTCTCCTGGTTCTCCTCTCACCTTTCTCAGAGCAGAGAGGGGAGAAAGCCTTCCAGGAGCCGTCCTTTCTGCCTGTATCAGCTGACAAGAGCTGGCTAATCTTGGGAACTAAAGGATTTAAGGAGCCGAGTTCCCTGCCACCATTCAATGCCAGTAAAGGTATGGAGCTTGAAAACAGGTAGGAGACAAGACTGAGACCTGGAAAAAGTCTGCCCCTCGGGACCTCCCCTCCCAAGACCCATGACTATGCACACCCTCAAAAGGAAAATAAATGGAAGCCTCACCATCTGGGAAGGTTGTTTTGTTTGTTTTAGGTTATAAAGACAGAATGAAGGGGAAGAAGAAGGGGTGGGGGGAGGTCCAGGAGGAGGTGGTAGCAGATGGGCGAAGGGCACAGATGGAGGGGTTTCTCCTGAATGGAGGCAGTCCACATGCACTGGTGAAGAACGTGACAACCTGAATGGTTGTGGATGCATTTCTAGGCGTGGACGGAAGTCTGGGGAGACCAATGGCCGCCATTATTTTTTCAGTGGAGTGGGTGGAAAAGTCATGGGCTGAAAGTGAAGAACTTGAGGAAGGCGGTAAAGATTTTAACAGCCATTGTTCCAGGGGAAGAGGGAGCTTGCCAAGAGAGCGCTGTGGGCCGAGCTGAGGCTGGACACCATGAATGTGTAGGGACGTCAAGCCAAAGGGCTTTGGATTTTTTTCCAGGTGGTGCTCAGAAGCTTGTGTTTAGCACAAGGTAAGGTGCACTGCAGCACTGCTCTGGGTGTGGGTTTTGCTGGGAGGGGAGACAGCAGGGAAGGGATGCTGAGGAAGTGAGGGGTGAGGAGAGAGAGCGAGTCAGATTGGCAGGAAGGAGAGGGAGGCAGCAGGCAGCTGATGGGCACTGAGAAAATGGAAGGCCCTGCAGGTCTCTATGAGGTCAACCAGAGGTGTGGGGGGAGAGGTGAGGGAGCCTGGGAGGGATAGGAGTTTGTGATCAGAGACTAGAAAAGCAGAGATTAAGGTTTCTGAGGTAAAGCAATTCCTGGTGATAACGTCCATACCAGCCTATCTCCAATTCTCAATCCTCCGTAGGGATCAAAGACCAAGGAGAATCCTTCCCCAGGAAGACCTGCTTCTGCCTGGACTTGAGGTCTTGGAAGTCAATAATGATCTCACTCACCCAGACATTAAGAAGGTAAAGTTAACAACAAGAGCGTCGGGGTGATGACTTTATGACTTGCACCCTAGTAACTCGTGTCTCCCCAGGGTATTTAGGTTGTGGGGTCCTGGGCTCCAGTAGGCTGACACGGTATCCTTGGAGTCCCAGGTGGGGAGCTTACCTTGACCGTGTAGATCTGGAAATAGATGGGTTGGGTGCCCATGCGAACATAGTAGGTGATGACATCCAGGATGAAGGGGTCCACGGTCCGGGATGAGCCAAGGGAGGGAGGCTGTGAGGGAGACAGAGAATGTCTTCAGCCACCTTCCTCCATGTTGCTGTGGGAGGTACCACTTTCTCCATAGAGAAGCTCCCACTCCCCCACATACCCTCTGTGATGCACTAACCCAGCTGGTCCTTCAGCATCGTCCAAGCCTTTCCTATCACCCAACTGCCACTCCTAGTCAAATCCAAAACCTATCCAAAGCCCCATCTCCCCAGGCATTTCAAGTGCCCAAAGACATATTGGTCACTGCTATGTGTAAGGCACGTGCTGGGTGCTTGGAGTAGACAAGATGCTTGAGATTTAACTAATGATGAGAGAGTCTGGACTGGGTTCTGGGTTTGGTTTAGCTACTCACTAGCCAGGTAACCTTGGGCATGAGAGTTTGAACTAGATGATCTGATGTTCTCTTTCAGTTCTTATTGTATCTGAATATATTAATAAACTAATTAATGTTTACATCTTATTGGAAAAGGACTAGTGCCATGTCCTTTAGACTTCCCCATATGATTATAAAGCAAAATGATAGGGGTTTTTTAAGATAAATAGAACAGAACATCTACAAAGAATCTGATAGTATTCAGAGTCGGAAAGAAGCTCAGAGCTTATCTCATCCATCTCACATCTGATCCTATAATACCTCTTCTAATTCTCACGTCTGGCCTATTGAAATATTGTGCCCCTCAGAAAGGTCACACTGAGGAACTAGGAGCTTATTCTAATAATGCTGTCATTGCTTACACTATTTCCAGTCTCTTCATGTGGAAGCTGCTTGTGGAGTAAGTGTAAGGGCCATATGAATTGTTAAGCATAAGGGAAAAGTGAGCATGGAGAAACCAAAATCCTACATGTGTCCTGGCAGGGGAAAAAAGCTACTAATAAAGGATCATAAATGAGACCTGCATCCAATGTTCCTCCTGTGATATTGTCAAAGTCGGGGAAAAGGTTTTTTAATACCCAGCTAAACAGTCTTTCACATATATGCAAAGATACTTTCAGATAAGCAATAATTCAGAAAACATGCCTCCCTCCAATATCTTACTAGAATAAAAGATCTAAGAAGGCATCCCAATCAATCAGGCAATAAAGCAACGTGGAGATCTCAGTGAAGTGGCAAGTTAGAAAATAACAAGTGAAAATTGACAAGTTCCTTTTAAACTAGCAGCAACTACTACCCAAATATTATGGGAGAAAGACACCATCCACAACTGCAAGAAAAAACTATCAAACATGTGGAATAAATTTAGCAAGAAATGCATAAAAGCTTCATGATGAAAACTGTATGACTATCCTGAGGGATATACAAGAAGACGTTAATAAATGAAGAGCTACACTTGCTTCCAGAGGAGGTGCCTTAATACACTAAGGATGCTAATTCTTCTCCAAATTTCAATCAAAATCCCAATGGGATTTAAAAAAAAACTCGACAATGAAATTCTAAAGTTTATCTGGAAAGACAGATAAACAAGCATAGTCTGAAAAGTTTTGAAGAAGAAAAGTAATGGGGTAGGCTTACTCTGCCAGACATTAAAGTATAAAAGCACTCATTTGTACAGAAATGAATAGATAAATGAGAAAGAATAGGTATCCGGAAATAAATTCAAGCAGATGTAAGAATTTAGTAAATGATAAAAGTGGCAATTCAAATTGATGGGGTAAGACAGTTTGTGCAATAAATAGCTTTAGGACAACTGGCTAAACATTTGGAAAGAAATAAAATTCCATACTTCACACTAAACACTGAAATTAATTGCAGGTAGTTTCTTTAAGTATAAAAATTGAGACATTAAAAGGTTAGGTGAATTACTGGTGAAAATTTATTTAATCTTGGATATAATTTAATCAGTGGAGAAGGCTTTTCAAGGCATGAGTCCAAAGGCAGAAATGATACAGAATAAAAGTGCTATCCACGTATTGCTACATAAAAATATTAAACTTCTGTAAGTCAAAAAAACCTACTAAAAAACTGAAAGGCAAATAACGAAGTGGAGAAAAATATCTACAACACATATGACAGCGAAAAGGGTAAGATTCTCTTAATGTGTAAAGACCATTTCAAATCGTAAAAGATGACTTCCCTCCCCCACAGGCCGAGGTTGGGGGTGGTACTCTGGTTTGTGGTGAGGACGACGTGTCTGGAATCAAGCTGCCTGGTTCCAAGTGGGACTCCACTACCGATTTTGTTACTCTGGGCAAGTTCGTCCTCTCTTTGTGCCTCAGCTGCTGGATCTGTAAAATGGGTGTATGGCAACAGGTGCACCTGCCGACAAGGGGACCTCCTTGGTTGGGCGGCTGCACGTGAGTGCCTAGACAGTGCCTGGCATGTGGAAGTGCTCAGGAAGCATTAGCTATAACAATCACAGAGAAATTAGCACAGGAAACTCACAAAGGAAGGAATACAATTGGCCCACACACTTATGAAAGAATGTTCTGCTTCGTCTCTCCCATGGTGGTCCTGTCCAAAGTAGGCGCCCAGTAAGTGTTCCGAGTGAATTCCAACCACTAGCTGCTTAGGGCTCCTCTTCCTGCCTCACCCCACCTTGGGGCCCCCTGGGCTAACTCTTGAGGTCAGGGGTCAAGGGCAACATCTGGCATGGCCCCCTCCCACATCCCTCCCACCCTCCCTCCCTCGCTGCCCCTACCATCTCTGCCAGCTTGTGGATGGCCGGGCACAGGGTGTTGACGGTGTTCTGGTACCAGGGATCTGCACGGCCCAGGAACGCAGCCAGCTCTCCAAGCTCCGGCTGCCTGGATGCTGCGGGCTTCTGGGGACAAGGGGATGGGACAGAGCCGTCAGGCCCTCTCTCTGGCACTCTCCTCCTGGTTAGAGGGCCCCCAGGTACAAGTCCTAGGCAAACTAACTTTGGGAATGTGGTCCAATCACTTAGCCTCTCGAGGCCTCCATTTCGGCTCTGTGTGAAGGCTGTTCTGTTTTATACCTCAGATGAAGCTGGAATACCCCTCACTGAGGGCCACTTGGCAGGGACACTGAAAAATGGTCATCAGCCTTAAAAGGGGAGAGACAAGTATTGCTTTGAATTTAATGCTCCCCAGTGAGAAGCAGAGTGGGCAACAGAAACGAAAGCCAGCAAGTGTGGCTGCATCTCCCCCAACAGATCAATGGGCTCCCACCGCCTGAAGTGTCCTTTTATGTGACCCCAGGAAGCATGCTGTGTGTGCGTGTGTGTGAGCCCCTCTTTGAGGAGAGGCTTGCAATTAATTCCATTAGAAAAGCAAAACAAGAACCAGCCATGGGCAGGCTGCCACAGCGAGAGAACATCTCTCTGGCCGTGTTCAGCCCACAGCCCGTGTCCATGGCTTCCGGAACGGAAGACCTCTAAGGTTCCTCCTAGCTCCATGTCCTAGAGAAGGGTGATCCTGGAGCCAGGGGACACGAGGCTGCAGTGTGTCCCTGTCCAGCCCCTGACCCAGCCCCCTGCTCCTGACAGCCCCTCCAGGCGGTCCCCCAGTTCTCCCCCTCCCCCCGCCCCGCCCCTGTCCAGCCACCTTAGCCGCCAGCACCGGGATATAGTACAGCTGCAGGCTGAGTCTGGGGGTGAGGCAGAACTTCTGGGTCTCTCGTTTCCTGGCAAAGGGCAGCAGAGCATAGGGGTAAGGGCAGAAGTTTTGGCTTCAAGCACACTTGGTTCCACATCCCAGCTCTGCTATTTAGTATCTCTTGACTTTGGGCAAGTTACCCAGTCTCTCTGAGCCTCTGCTCTCTCGTCTCTCGAACGGGTGCAGTAAAGCAGTGAGGGCAGGGCTCCGTGAAGGCCAAGAACAGGGTGGGGGGCGGGGGACACTGTGCTCCATCCACCCCCAGCCGGCACTGGCCTCTGCCTCCTGACCCTCGCTGACCATTCCCTGATCCTTCACGAGTCCATGCCAGGCCCACCTGTGCCCCCCTCAGCCCCAGTCCCCAGCCGCCCCCCTCGGGGCCCTACCTGAGGCTGTGGTAGGCCTGGGCCAGGCGCCCCAGCATCCTGTCGTCCCCCAGCACCAGCACCCGGGCCGTGTGCAGCCGGGAGACCCCGGGCAGCAGTTCCCCGTCCCCGTCGGGCCTGCCTGTCCTCCGGTGCAGCCCTGGGGGCCCGTCCCAGCCGCCGAGCATTAAGAGGTCCAGGGGCCATGCCCGCTTCTTCATGCCCCCTTTGCGCTGCAGCCCCCCATGCTCCATCTCAGGGCTGCTGGGTGTGAGCAGCTCGTCAGCCCCCAAAGGAAGGTCCCGCTCGATGCCACTGTCAGTGGACAGTACCGACACCCGGGCCAACTCCCGGTCTGGCAGGAGGCCCTGCAGATCCAAAGCCTCCAGGTCAGCACTGAGGCGCATTTGGGATCGTGGGCGCAGGAAGAGCACCAGTTCCTTCCCTGGGATGCAGAGGACAAGGGGACCGTCAGCGTGCAGAGGGTACATGAGGCTGGCAGGGCCTCACTCAGAGATGTCTGTGGCTCCATGTTTCTCAAACGCTGTGTAGCTGAACAGAAGCCCCACAAGATGCTCCACAAAGGAACAGAGGTTCTGTGGCCAACAAAGATTGAGAAACCTGCACTCTCTTTCCACCTCTTGTTGAGTTCCATTAGTAAACATGTTAAAGGCTCTGAGAAGTCCTGCGGTAAAGAAGTCAGCTTAACCCAGTACGTCTGAGTTTAGCTGACCCTGGAGTCCTCTGGTTTGAATTTCCTCATTAGCATCCTCTATTCTCCTACTCCCCGTAGCTTCCAGTGGGACACAGATAACAGACCATCAGCTCCTGGAAAACTTCCAGGCTTTTCTAATCCACCTTCACTTCATTTCCCACCAGGACACTGAGGCCCAGAGAGAGAACTGAGTCCATCTAGGGTGGCCCAGCACGTGAAAGGAACCACTTGAACACGGTTCACCAATCCAGCACTTCCCACCACAACCTGCGCCTCTGTCTCCCCCTCCCTCGAGAAGAGCCGGGGGACAGTGGGACGGGAACATCAGTGTGGACGGCAAGCGTCAGGTGAGGGTGAGTGAGTCTCTCTGGAAGGACCTGTGCTCCATGAACTGTAACTTCTTGTGACTGCTTCCTTCTTGGGGACGTGAATTGTCACTTTAAAGACACGGGAGGCCAGTGGCTAAGGCACTGAGCTGCTCTGACACAGAGAATGTGTGTCCTTCTTCTAGATGTGTGAGCAACTCAGGAACAAATAGCACACACAGACCCACACACATCAGATACACATGCACACACACAGAGACACACACATAGATACACAGAGACACACACACAGATACGCAAGCAGACACACACACAACAGATACACATGCCACACACACAGAGACACACACACATACATACACAGAACACAGACACACACAGATACATCCACATAGACAAACACACAGATGCACACACAGAGACACAAACAGACACAAACCTATATACACCCTACGTAGACACACAGACACACAAAGACCCCCCAGAAACACACACACACACACGCCACTCTTTCCAGCCAGCTCCCCACGGAGGAAGTCAAAGTCATGTAACTTACAGAGCTGCTCCTCATCCGTCCACAGGTGGAAGGTGATGTAGGGACTGGGCAGAGGGATGCTTGGTGGCCGGTCTTGCAGGGCGTCATGACCTGGGGAAGGAGCAGGCTGTGGAGACCACGCAGGAGAGGGCTGTGGGATTCTCCTCTGCCCTCCCCACCCCCACCCCAGCTCTGGTACAGGGCCTAGAAGGTGTGGCAGAGACCGCCTCCCACCCCCATCAGCTCATCCAGGGCCTGACACTTCCTGACGCTTCAGCGGTCCCCTCCTGCCCAAGAATGCTTGGCAGCTCCCTGTTTCCTGCAAACGTCCCAGCTCAGCCTTCGGGGCCCTTCACAAGCCAGCTCACAGTGGCTTTCCCAACCTTTTGTCCCACTGTTGGTCCCTGTCCCCCAGCTTTGGGCTGCAGCCACGCTGCCTGTCGCATTGTTCTGAGATGCCCCGCCCACATCCAGCCTGGGAAATGGCCTCTGTGTGTCTCAGGGCCTCGCCCAGCGGCTTGCACACAGCAGACACTCAGTTACCATTTGCTCCTGCGGGTAATGCTGAAGAGAGCTCGTGAGCTAGCCGCTAAAGGCAGCAGGAACCGTGCAGTCCGGGGAGAGACAAGGGCCAGCCCCTCCTGCTCTCCTCCTTCTGGAAGCCTTCCTGACCACTCCAGCCTACTGGCCGTTCCTCCCCACAGACCATCTTGGCTGCACAGTGGGCACATCTAACCTGTAGCCTTAGGATTTAACTTAAGGGAGAGCAACCAATGTTCACAGAACTTACTGCTGCCAGGCGCTAATCTCCTCCCCTTGCACACATTGCCATTGTCTCACCACATCCTGCCTGTGACCCTGGGCCACAGGTAATATTATTATCCTCACTTTACAGAGGAGGAGCCAGGGGCACAGACAGGTTAAGTAACTGGCCCAAGGTTACACAGTCAGTGGCTGAGCCAGAATTTGAGCCCAGGCCTCCTGGCTCCAGAGTCCATGCTCTAACCCATGACACTGTGGTCATAGGCATTGTCCCATGCTACCCCTTTAACAGCAGGGGCTCAGTGGGGGTGCTGGTTGGTCATTAAGATGCAGGAGGCAAGTGTCTGGATGTGGCTGGGATGGTGCAGGGGGCCCAGACCGGGTCGTGTCTCATCCATGCAGAGTTACTGCTGTGTTAGCAAGCGGTACCCAAAGGGAGTAAAGCCAGATTTGACCCTGGGGTTTGTCCCAGATTCAGGAGGAGGGAGGCTGCGTGGACAGACATCTCCAGATGTTAATCAGAGGCAGGACAACATACGAAAGCAAAGCGAAAGGATGGAAGACTGAGAAGATGGGGGGAATCTGGAGGCTGGGGCCATCCCACCGCCTCACCCTCCCTTCGGCAGCCTCCACCCTCCCTGGGCTGCCGAGGTCAAGCCCCAGGGCTGGCACCCTGACCTCTGCCCTGGTCTCCAGTCCTTAGGTGCTGTGTACCTATGGGTGACCTGTGTGTTCTGGGACATGCAGGCTGACAAATTCCACGGGTACTTTGGGCGACCACAGAACAGGACACAAATCAGAACAATCCTCCAACAGCCAGGAAATACATGTTCCAGACACTTCTCTGGGCTCTTTAGGGTTTCCCAATCCACACAGGCTTGTTTCCCATCAGTGCCTGGCACTGTCTTATGAAAACGCAAACAGAAAGCAAGCATGCGGAGTGAAAATCTATGACACCAGATATTAGTGATGTTGTCTCAGCTGCTATTTCAGATGTCCTGTAGAGGACCTGAGGACCATCACATCCTTTGGTTACTACAGGATAGTGCTCAAGGACTAGACAGCTTGAACCTTGAACCTTGGCTCTGCCACTGATGTGCTGGGTGGTCTTGTGCAAAATTTATAGCCTCTTTCTAGCTCAGTTTTCTCATCTGTAAAATGGGGATAAGACTTTCTATCTTGTAAGTCTGCTGTGAAGATTAACTGATTTAATATGTGTAATATATTCAAATGTATGTAAAGGGCTTAGTACAGCAACTGGGGTAGCGTAGGTGCCCTGTAGGTGTCAGTTACTATTAAGACCAAATTACCCACCTTCTTAGCCCAGGACCTTCCAAGTTCCTGGGCTGCCTTCAGTCCCCACGCTCCTAGGAGTGGCCCAGTTCCCATCCCGCCTCAGCCACGCACGCAGACTCGGGGCAGGCACCGCACTGCTTTCTGGAGCCCCTTGCGGGCCCATCGCAGGGTCCCCGGGCCGCAGACCCCGCGCCCGTCCGCCCGCCGCTTACCGCCGCAGCGCCCCCTGGCGGCCGCCGCCGGCCCCAGCAGCGAGCAGTAAATCTCCTCCAGCCTCTCCAGGTGTCCCTCCCGGCTCGGGCTGGGCTCGCTCGCCATCTGCTCCACCGCTGCCACCACGGCGTGGAAGATGCGCTCCAGGGCGTGGCGGGGGCTGGCCTGTCGGGGAGGGCCGCCAGAGCCTGAGTCCCGGCCCGGCCCCCACCCACCCCAGAGCCGACGCCAAGTCCTCGGGGCGTGGACAGCCCAGCGTGGCTGCCCCTCTGCCCCTGGGACCGGGCGGAGCGTCTCCGCGAAGGCAGCTGCGCCGCACGTCCAGGCTCCTCTCCGCCCCGCCGCAGCTGATGCCCGATGCTGCCTGCAACTGGGGGTCCCCTCTGCCCCTCACCCTCTGGTGCCCTGCAACGTCGGAACCCAGAGGGGCAGGGATGGCCGCTGGCGCCAGCCTCCTTCGAGCGACACCAAGCACTTGGATCAACGTGCTTCCCCCAGTAGGATGTAAACTCCAGGAAGGCAGGGGTTTTGTCCGTTTTGTTCACAGCTGCATCCCACAGATGCACCTAGAACGTCTCGTGGCACATAGTGGGTGCTCGATGAATATTTGTTGAATATTTCCTAAACTTCTGTCCTTCCTACACCGCCCTGACCCACCACCTATACTATTATTTACTCATTATTTTTCTTTAAATCAGCTCACTATTTTGGTTCAAAATTATTCCAAAAGGAAATTTTGTATCCCTACTCTTAATAAAAAGGCTAGTGTCAGTTGTCATAAATAGAAAATAACTAAGAGGAATATAATGGTCACAAAGCATGATTAGGAAATTCTAGCCAGGTGCGGTGGCCGTCGGGGCTCTAGAGCTTGAAGCTTGCTTTCTCTTTTTAAAAAGGGAGATCAGTGAGCGTTAAAGCGGTTTGGGGCAAAGCACCAAGCTGAGCATTTCTCCGTAAGAGAAACGGGGTTTAAAAGAGTTTCTCACCCTGCAGTCCCCAGGCTCTTTAGCACCTCCAGGGGCACGGCCCTGACACCCTGGGAACTGCCCAGAGACGGTTCTCTTGCTGTCTTCCCTCAGCCTCACCTGCCACCAGCTGAGCCCATCTCCTAATGGAAGAGGCAGGGCCCACACGTGTGACATGGGCAGGCACGACAGGCTTGCTCTCGCCTCTCTTCTGCGCTAGGGGTCTGCTGAGCAGAGTCTTAGCTTCCTGGGCTGAGGGAGAGTGGGCCGTTCTGCCCAGCTAGGGCTCCAGTGACTATCCGCTCAACCATCAGCTGAGTGAACAGAAGCAATGAGAGGCAGATGGAATCAGAGGCAGAAGGGGCCACAGGGACCAGCTCATCTTGTTGCTTCATTTTATAAATTAATTATAAATAAATTAATTAAATATGTATTGAGCACCCACTTTGTGCCAGGCACTGCTCTAGGTGCTGAGGAACAGCACTGAACAAAACAGACCAAAATCCTGTCCTCATGGAGCTTATATTCTAGTCTCTGTGTGTGGGTGCATGGGAGGAGATAACAAACAAGAAAAATTTATAGGATGATAAATAATAAGTGCTGAAGAGAAAACAAAGAAGGGCAGGAAGATGTGCAATTTTGGGGTGGGGCTGAAATTTTAGATAGTATGACCAGGGGAGCCGCCCTGAATGGTGACTTTTGAGTAAAGACCTAAAGGAAGTGAAGGAGCAAATAATGTGCATATCTGAGAGAACATTCCAAGCATAGGGCACAGCAAGTGCAAAGGCCCTGGGGTGTAAATATGTCTGGCATGTTTCAAGAACAATAAGGAGGCCTGTGTAGCTGGAGCAGAGAGAAAGAGAGCAAGGGTACACGAGATGGATCAGCGATGGAAATGAGGAGGTGGGGGAAGGTCATGAGGGTCTTTGTAATGTAATGACTTTGTAATGACTTTGGCTTTGACTCTGAGGGAGATGATGTGGTAGGCGCCTTGGCAGCTCCCCAGATTCCCACTCTTGGGACTGAGGCTCTCATGAGCCCTGTTGCTGGGAGTGTTGGCAGTTGGCAGCTCTCAGGAGAGTCCCTCTCCAAAATTGCCCTGGGCTGAAGAAAGCCACCTCTCCAAGGTCATGCTCCCTTCCTGAGGACAATCCACATCCAATAACTAGTAGACGTGGAGTTATAAAGGCCTGGCCCTCCCCCTAATTTGAGATGACTCTGAAAGGCCAGCTCAGCTCCAGCGCCTCCTACAGAGTCAGCTGTGGGCGAGCTCCTTCCGAACTCAGCAGAATGAAGAAATGAGGACAATTAGACCCTGAGAAGCTGGGGCTGGGTCGCAGTCCAGTTGCCGGCCACTGAGAGCTGCCTCTCAGAGCTGCGTCTCCAGACTCCTGCCTTGGCCTCGCTCCCATGGCCCTCCGGAAATGCCTGGCTTCAAGGCCTCGCCAAGAAGCCTCTCCTGACCACACATGGGGCCGCCCTACCTAGAGACACCCACCTCTAGCACCCACCTCCAGCAGAGGGTCAGAGAGGCAGGTTGTCCCAAGCTGAACCCCCCAGTCATGAGGCCTTGTCAGCTGGTTTCCACACATGGGGAGACCAATCTACTCCCCACCTGGGCCTTAGACCAGGCCCTCAGCAGACGGGATGTGGGTTAGTGGTCAGATAAGGCCGACCCACCAGACCTGTGACTGGCTGAGCCACCTTCCCCAGGCCCCACTTGTCCTCAAGCCAGCAGGTTATGACTGGGAATGGCATCTCTAAAGCTGCCTCAAGAGGCAGAATTCCAGATAAGGAGGCCAGGGGTCCCAGGGGGTGGGGAGTGGTGGTGGACACGCTCTGGAGAGCACCCGGCCAGGCCGATGTCTAGGAACCCCAGCACCTGGTGGGGGAGGATGGGAGCCTGGGGACGGTTAGGGACCCCTCAACTCTAAGCTTCCCAGGGTCTCTAACTTAAGATCAGTGATGGGTTCCCTCTGGTCTCTCCCTGCTCTTCTTCAGCCCCTCCCCCGTGCTCTACACACAAAATGGAGACTCAGAGCAGCGGGCTCTGCATAAAGTGGGGGTGGGGGCATAACAGTTCGACTCTGCCTAAAAAACACAGCTTTTACTTTCAGCATTTCTTTTTGCTGTTGCAAAGTAGTGTATGTAACAAACCTGTTCATTCCAGCCCTGAACCGCCCTCTCCCTCCCCGCCATTCTTGACCTGGTGTCTCCCAATCCTACCCCATTCCTGACACCCTCAGATCCAGCCAGCCTCATTCCTAAGGGTACCCCTGAACCCCAGCTGCCTCCAACTCGGGGATGGAGTGAGGCTTGGGGTCTGTATTCCCCATATCACTGAGAAGCAAAAATCATTGTTCTTACGTGTTTGGCTTGGATGTGTCAAAATGGCACCTTCTGAGCCAGAAACAACTGCCAGAGCTGCTGGAGGGGTGGAGGGGGCTGCTGGGTCGGCAGACAAATCAACGTTGGACAGGAAAGCTGCTGCCTCCCCACCTTCCCGAGAGCCACGGCCATTGCGGGGGGGGGGGGGGGGAGCCCACATTAGGGGCCACAGGTGTCTGTACTAAAACCAAGATGGGGCTTAGGTATGAGGAGGGGGGAGCTTTCCTCCACCATGCGGCTGTGTGGTGTGAACTCCTCAAAGTGGGTGTTGTAGAAGGAGGGGCGTGCTGGACGGTGCAGGTGGGGGGTGGGGGGAGAGAGTCAAAATGCTTAGACAGGTGGGTGACCACAAAGGAATGGTAGTCTAAAGGTGTGAAGGGTGCTTTTAGAGGAAACGAATGACAGAAGACAATCAACACGGTTTAAAGAGGCACCCAGCATTGCATAAAAGACACCCATCAAAGGAAGGATGCAAGGTGTAGGGCTCCGGGTGTGGAGGATGCCAAATGGGGAAAGGACAGGTGAAGAGGGACCATCCGATGCGTTCTGAGGGCAAAGCAGGGTCTGAGACATGGACTGCCAGGAGGACTGACACCACTTCCTGGGGCAGAACAGGCAGGGGATAGCGGACCCCTCGAGGGCACCCTCCCTTCTGGCGCCCGCCCCCTCCTGCACGGCAGCCCCCCAGCCCTGAGTCAGAGCAGCTCCGAACCTTGGCCATCATCCAGCCCAGCATTCCCGGAGGACAGGGTCACCTTTCTCTGCTAAAGGGTCACCTCAGACAGTGCTGGACTCTGCCCTGGGCGGCATCCTCCCCTACCCGAGAAGCCCAGCACCTGGTGCAACCCTGGGCCAGGGAGCCTCCAGCCTGCAGGAGTCCTGGCTGTGGACAGGGGCCGAGGCTGAGCCAGAGAGAAAAACTAGGAAACCAGTGGATAAGTGCTGGAAATAAACTGACTCCCCACAACAGGAACAGGGGACAAGTTAAATAAGTAACAGCTAACTCACTAGAGAGAATAACGTGCAACCATTAGAAGTACGTATCTTCCAAGGAAAAGATTTCCGTGTGGTATGATCCCAAAGGCAAGGGAAAAATAAAGATGATATATATGCATATATCCATGCGGTATAGAAAGCCGTATGCAGAGTGTCATATCTCAGTTTGTTAAAAGGGAATGGCTGGGCAGTGGAGCTGGGAGGTGATTGAACACAGACTTGAAGTCAGATCTGGGTTCAAATTCTGACGCAGCCACTTTGTAGCTGTGTGACCCCCTGTAGGTTATCTGCGTCTCTGTGCCTTAGTTTTGGTAATTGTATCCATTTCACAATGTTGTGGTGAGAATTTTTAAACGTGATATATGTAAGGTGCTTAACACAGTGTCTGGAACCCAATGGACATTCAGTAAACAGTAGCTATTATGTTTAGTATCGTCATTATTAGTAAGGAAGTATACCAAAATGTTAATTGCTATTCTGTCTGGGTAGAGGAGTGAGTGATGTTTATTTTCTTTTTTGGCTTCTCTGCATTTTTTTCAGATTTTCCGTAGCGGATGTGTATTCACTTTTGATTTAGGGGAAAGAGGTGATATGGAACCAGGAGAAGGGGGAAGATGAGTCGGGTGAGCATCGCCGTGGGCGTGCAGGGCCCTGGGCTGGACAACCAGGGCCAGGGCAGGGCAATTACCTGCAGCTTCCTTTGCAGAGCGCCTGCGTGGCAGGCCTCCCCCAGAGCCGCCTGCAGGGCGTGGGAGACCACGTGGCGCATGCAGGCCTCTGGTGTCTGCTGCTCCTGGGCCGCCTGGATCTCCAGCAGCAGGGCACTGCACACGGAGGGAGATACCAGCTCAGGATCCACGAAGAGGAACACTCTGAGGACAGAGGTGGGGAGAGGGACTGATGAGAATGACTACGGGGAGGAGAGCCACTGGAGGGGCACCCTCAGAGCCTTGCAGCTCCCCAAGTTATTTAGTTCTTTGCAAAAACAGGAGACTCAAATGCAAAAGTCTCTAAAGGGGACACAATATGGACTGGTGGGGACTGTGGCAAATAAGAGCAGACATGGCCCTTCTAGAGGGGCAGCTGGTCCTTCTGGTCTCAGGTCTTGGTAAATTCCAAGCTAAGTCCGGCTCCCTCCCTCAGCGCCGTGGCCCAATGACCACATGCCTGTAGGAGGGACTCTAAATCCTTCCTGCCCAGCTGGGGCCCAGAGCCCTGAGTGAGTCCATCTTCTCTCATCACCCTTATCACACCAGAACACTGACCTCATCTACCCTCTCCTCCTTATTCAACTGTGTCATCCCAGCCTTTCCGATGCTAATTCCTCTGGACCCCTCCACTTCCCTGGACCCTCCGCGAGCACAGGGCCTCCATCAACACCTTTCAGTGCCAGGTCAACAGAGGTGCCTGCAGGGGAGGAGGCCACTCACCCCCAACACCATCAGCCCCTCTTCCCCACACTAACAGCGGGCATTTCCTTCATCTTATCTGAAGGGCTGGGCACCAGCAGCCGAAAGGCCCCAGACTTCCTGGTGTGAGTGTCACCTGGGATCCCTCCGCTATCGACACTCGGGAGCTGCCGCTGGCTGCCCGCTGGTGATGTGGCAGCACGGCCAAGGGCAGGGCGGACATGGAACAAGAGAACTCCCGGGGGGCCCAGGGGCCACGTCCACCCTCTGCACGTGAGCGGCATAGCTCTGGATCCAGCCCAAGAGGAAAGACCGATCCTGCTTTCCACGATCTCGAGAGGACGCTCCCCGTCCACCGCTGGACACGTGTGGTGGATGGGAAGCTCCGCTGACCCCCCTGCCAATCCGGCCTCCTCTCACGCCCCTGTGTCGGGGAGCAGCCGCCCGGCCCAACACCTGGAGGGGGCGGAAGGCAGCGCCCTGTCTGGGGCCGCTCACCTCTCCTGGTAGGGGTACAATTCACTCGGCAAGTTCTGTTCGGCGATGACCAGCCTTTGGTACAGCGTCCCTGCAAAGCAGACCCCTTCAGCCAGCCAGCCCGGCTCTCTGACCTCCACTCCCGACTTTCCCACAGTAGGTGCTGGGATTTTTGAGCTCCCTGGAACCCTGGAGGCGAGGCAAGACCTTGGGCGGAGCTGGGGTAGCAGCGTGGGAGATAAAGCCACCCGGAGCTCTTACCTGGGACTGCCGTCTCGGTCTTCAGCCTCACGGCGCAGTCCAGGGCGACCGTGCAGTAGGGGGCCGGCAGGGTCAGTAACCTCATGCAGAAGGCGTAGGTTCTCCGGTAGAGCTCCTCGGCGATGCCCGTGGCCTGGGTGAGGGGGGAGTTGGGGTGCCCAGAGCCCTAGGTCACGGAGGGTCCTGGGTGGGGTGGGGTGGGAGAGGAGGAAGGGCGGGCCTGACAGCCAGACCTGGGCTCACACTTCTGTCCCAAATCTACACCTTCAGCCTCTTCTCCCAGCATCCAGAAGACCTCCTCTTTGTCCGCCTCTCAGACTTACCCAGATGGAAATCCATCTCATCTTGTCCCGCCAGGGGATCCACTCCCTCCCAACCCTTCCGCTCTGCGGGGCGGCGCATTTCTGCCCTTCTCCAGGCTGGCAAGCTTGGAGTCACGTCTCGGCCTGCTTTGCTCCTCCTGGCATCCCGCAGGCATGAGATACCCCGCTGTGCCCCAGGGGCTCCCCTTCCCCCAAGCCCTCTGCGTTGGCCGGAGCCCAGCCCTATCCTGACCACGGATTCCAGCAACCCTGGAATTGCTCTCCCCCCTCCCGCCTACCCCCCCACCCCGTCTTCCTCACCACCACCCCCTCCCTGCCCCCTGTGACTATGCACAGCTCCTGGTTACTCTTCTCAAGACATTTTCTTGGTTTCATGTCCCTCTCTGTGTAGGGACCAGCGATGGCTCCTATTGCACATATGCGCAAACCTAAGCATCTCATTCTGGCATTCACGGCTCTCCATGCGTTCTGCACACGGCCCGACTTTCCCCATTTTCTCCCCAGTTTCGCTCCTCGTGTGCTAGGGAGAGGGCACAGCTAGTGCAGAGAAGTCAGTTTGGGGCGGGCTGCCCACGAGTTCTCCTAGGCTCGCCTTGGCAGAGAGTGGCTGTCCACTGAGGGGAGAGGACAGTGTCCAGCCCAGTCACGCGGGGGTCCCCATGACCACCCTGACCCTCAGGCCCAGCTCACCTTGGTAAGCACGTACATTAGAGTGTGCAGCAAGGGAATGATGACATGCCGGAGGTCCTCACTTTCTGCCTGGAAAATGGGATCACATGACATTAATGGCCTGGGGGTTAGGGGGGCTCAACACGTCCTAGCAGGAGGCAGTTTGGGGGTGGGCAGGAGATGGGGTGGAAGTTCCACCATGCCAGGGGGAGTGGAGAGGGGCACAGTCTGCACTGGTAGAATGGGAGAGGGGTGGGGTGGGGAGGGCGCACAGGTGTGGAAGCCGGCTGTGAGGGTGTGGGGGAGGAGGGGTGCGGGGAGCTCGGTCGGGGAGGGGCAGCGTCCACTCAGGCAGGAGCTGGCAAGCCTGTTGCCAACTTGAGGCTCTCTGGAGGGCAGTGTTTCCCAAACAGTTGCACACAGAGCATTGGGTGGCATGGAGGATGGTTTTAGGTGGTACAGGATAATTTTGAACATTTTTAATAGTTACACATTTATGTTTATAGGTGTTTTCTGTTTCTGCAGGTGATATTGGTTTTCCATTTATGATCATGTTATAGGATTTCTTTGAAAATATAACTCCAGTAAAACAATGGGAGTCAATGTAAAGAAAATATTGCTTATAGAAATATTTATAAGTATTTTCCATACTTATAGAAAAGTATAAGAGGGAGAGAAATATGGTAAAAATCCTGCAGGCGGTCCAAAATGACCAAAGTTTGGGGGACACAGCACTGATGGGACCGAGTCCCCGGCTGGATCAGCCTCTCTTCCTCTCCTCCCTGTCTGCCTCCCCGAAGCCCGAACACCCACCTTCTCCAGTTCTCTGAGCAGAATGCGGACCAGTGCCGGACTCTTGCTGGGATCTCGCTCGACCTTCTTGTGCAGGGACCATCTCCACATGCCTGGGCCGGGAGAAAGGCGAGCCCGCACAACCAGGCGGGGTTGGGGCTCTTAGAGGAGACCCCTCTGAGCAGGCCCCTGAGCCCTGGAGTCCCAGACTATGACTTTGACCAGGCGCAGGTCTGACCCCTCAGCTGGGCGCTTGGCTCCAGGTGCACATGGGTGGGCTTCCTAGGTGTGGGAGTTCTGACCTGCTTCCCTTTGTGGACAGTGAATTCCCAGGGCAGAGAGGAGCAGAGGTGGGGCAGTAGTGGGAACGGGTGTGTGCGTGCGGCTGTGGAGCAGCATTGTTGACAGGTCAGCGCCCCAGCCACATTTCTGGAAGTCTGGCAGCCTGGGGTTTTGTTTGCAAGGGGAGTCAGGGAACGCGGTTAAGAAGGAGGGCGGCTTATCCCCAGTGCGCTCTGCCCCAGGTGCTGGTGTCGGGGGCTGGCGGCAGAGAAGTCTTCTTGGTCCTTCAGGCTTCAGGTGTTTCTAGCAGAAAGAGGACTTGGCTAGAAGCCCCTCACCCTGTGAGCTCTAGGCTGGGGTGTTTTCTGAGGACGTATGGGCAGAGATGGCTGGACTGGTGGGGTCGGTGGGAGGAGCAGATAGCCTGCCTGCTGGCTCTTACCTTGGTTGCTCTGCAGGGCTGGGGCCTGGGCGCTGAGCTCCCGGAGCACGGCCTGCACGCTCCGCTCCAGGTCCAGCTCCACATCTGGGCAGCAGGGGTAGGGGTGGGGGGCTTTGAGGCCAGGAACTTTGGAGCTCAGCCTCCCTGGCCTTACCCTCGCCCCTGCCTTCATTTTCCCTGAGAACGTCTTTAGCCCATTCTATGAGCCTCAAGAGGGGCCCCAAAGAAATCAACGTGGAGCCGGCAGCCAGCACGTGGGCCGGGGCGGGAACATGGCTTTCCGCTCAGCACTTCTGTGCTCTGTGGAAGACCAGCATTCCCCAAAAAGCAGCATGTAAACCAGTGGTGGCCAGCAGGACAACTTTAGGTGTACACAAATGACCGTAAAATTGGAATAATTATGCACTTATTTTAATGTATATTAGAAAAAATATATATATAACTAGCTCTTCAACTTACACATAAAGCTGAAGTTTAAAGACACATATCAGATAAATACTAGGACAGGAGGTGACAACTCTCTCCCTGACTGAACTTTACTAGGCTCCCCGTAGCTCTCTTCTCCACTGGGCCCTGACCTTGGCCCCTGTCCTGCCTTTGGCCTGCCTAGCCCAGTTTTAGCAAGAATCCTGCTAAGTCAGTTTATGGAGGATCTCCCACCCTTGATATCTGATCAGGTTCTTCCACCTTTGATGTTCAAGCCCTTGGCCACCTCTAGCAAGAATCCTATTAGGTCCCGTTAGCAAGAACCCCCGCCCCGATGTCCCCTCTGAGCCGTTTTCCATCCACTGGCCCTCACTCTCTTGTTTGGCTGCAATCCCCAGCTGTCTTTGCCTTATTTGGAGTTGAGTCCACTCTCTCTCCCCTATTGCAGTAGTCTTAAATGAAGTCTTCCTTACTGTTTTTAACAAGTGTCAGAGTAATAATTTCTTTAACAGTGGTATGTTGATATGGCAAAATGATGAAAGTGACACAAGAACAATTGACATTTGGAAAATGTGGTAGCCGTGAGAATGCACCTCCCTGATGTCCCACTACAGGGAGTTGAATTGGCCAAGGTGGGGGAGCATTGTGCCGCTGTGCTGTAGAATACATCACTTTGTGCAAGGCCATGCTTCGAGGCCACTGACCGCCTGTTAGTCTAAGACATTTCCACCCACCCCCCCGCTTCTCTTTCTCCTTCATTCCAAGTCAGATTCGCATCACGGTCTGACAGCTGGCTCTCCCAGCCTTTACCAGCTCCCTCTCCGTTTTCTGTCCTACAGGTGTTTCCCCACATAAAGCCTTGCACGTCTAATCCTGTCTGGCTGTCTGCTTTTTGGAGGATCTGGGCTAACACAGGATGTGTGGGAGACACTCTCCACACCATAAATTCTTGTTTACGATGAACTCCAATCAAGAGTTTCTCGTTGTAGGCAAGTGTGCATTCTCTGATTGCCAGGCAACACAAACCACATGCCTCAGGGGTTCCCCTTTCACCTTAGCTGTCAGGAAACTTCCAGCCGAACTGGGGCCCTGCCTCAAAACTCAGCTCATCTCAAATGATGGGAACCTCCCTTCTCTGCTCCTCTTCGGAGCCCCTGATGGATGTTCTACTTAACATCTTTCTTGATTGTCTCAGTTGTCTTCGGAAGTAGGCAGGATAGAGATGACAAATTAAAAAAAATCAGCAGGTTGCTGTCCAGGAGTCAAAATGTATTTAGAACAAGGCACCCCATGCACTGGTGCTCACAGACTGGCCCCTCCACGGCTCTGGCGTGGGCCTGTGCAAAGTCCGCCGGGGCCACTCGGCGTCTCTGAAACCCCTACTTTCCTCCTGCCTCTCACTTGTCCCCCTGGACCACGTCAAGGCCCGATCCTGAGTCTCCTCCAGGCTGAGAGTGGGCTGTCACAGTGCACGTTTGCTCACCTGGCCACTCTGCTGGGCAGGGCAGCATCTCCCTGAACTGACAAGGAGATCATTTAGCCTCGGGTGAAGGCCGGTCCCAAGCTGTCCTTCCATCTACCCGTCTCCACCTTGCATGAGGACTTAATGAGTTACTACAGGGTGAGTTATTAAAAATTTAATTGACGTTATATCTTCCTTCCTCCCTCCCTCCCTCCCTCCCTCCTTCGCTCTCTCTCTCTTTCTTACTGTGGATTGCACATAAAGACTTCAAACTGTGACAACTGTGATTTCCTCCTGGCCTCATTGCTAGAAGTGCAGCCAAGCTTTTGTCTTCTGAGCCCTAGTTTCCCCCGCTTTGCAAACAGAGTTAAGTTTTTATGTTTCAGAGAAAAATAGAGAAGTTGGCAGTAGCCCTGGGAGACAACCCCAAATAAACTTTGTTTTCGAAAGTCTGGGCAGCCGGAACAAACTCTCAGGCTTTGGTCCACATCTGGCTTGCAGACGTGTTTTGTTTGGGCTTGTAGATGTCTTGGAAAAAAAAAAATTGAATTAGCTGCCAACATTTGCAAATCAGGAGATTTTGCAGAAAAGTTTGGGTTTCTGGAATCTCTTGAAAGTCTGTTGACACTAGGCATGCATGTTTGTCACATGCGACAAGCTTCCCCCTTGAGATGGGACACAGCCACCATTGTTATTCACAGTCCCTGCTCTCCTTGTTTCACTCCTTTATATCCTCTACCTGCCCTTGAGTCTGAGCCCCCTGGCTAGCTGACTGAGACAGTCAAGCTGGATTGTCTGAGAGGGATGTGGAGGAAGGCTGCTGCTTTTAGTTACAGAGGAGACTGCAATACAAGGGTGGGAGGGTGGATTCCCCAAGACCGCGAGGGCACACAGGGTGTGTGGGCCCAGGGGATGAGGAAGACCAGGCTGGCTGGAGCATAGCTTACCAGTGGTGGCAAAGATCTCAGACGAGGGCAGCTACGCACTAAACTCTATGCCCTTGAGTGTACAGCAAAAGTCTCCCGGGTCACTCTCACCAGAGCACAAGAATGTCCCCAAAGGAGCCCCCTCTCTTACAAGCCTGACCAAGCTGTTCTGGGGGCTGCAGCCACAGTAGACTGAAGCCCACAGACTTTCCCCACCATCCAGACTTTGTAAGCTCTGGACTTCTCACAAGATCCCAGGGAGCGGGGAGGTGCCCCAAGCAAATGACATCGGAATTTGTATTGACCTTGGAAAGTGATAACCTGAAGCTGGATTTTATTTGATTACGCAAAAGAAACAAACAGGATATTTCCTGTGCCTCAAGTGTCTTTGTTGTTCATATATGATATGCATGTCTAACATCATTCTTGACTCAGAACAGGCAATAAATAGATGACATCCATTATTATCCTCCCCTCCATCCAGGCATGTGGGACATTGCTAGCTGGTATCCAGATTACTACTAATATTTAACATTTAAATAGCACTTGAAAGGCATACGCACAGTCTTACATAGGTGTGGCAAGACGAGGTTACATGTTCATCAAACCAATCCATTTTTGTCGCAGGTAGATGGGAAGACTACATTCCCAGACACCCCTGAAGTTCCACAGGAGCCGTGTGACTGAGTTCTGGCCAATGGAATGTGGTGGAAGTGACGTATGTCACTCTCGGGCTTGGCTATACATCTCTGCACTACCCTCCACGCTCTCTCTTCCCACTCAAGGGGCCTGTGGGAGACTTGTGTTGAAGAAGATGGTGCCACGAGAGCGAAGAAGACTCATCCCCAAAAGAATGTATGGAGCCCAGATTGGATGGGGGTGTGAGTGGGAAACAAGGACTTGTGTTCATCCGTTGACATTGGGGCCATTAGTTATAGCAGCTGACATTCTCTGACTGACTCCTGGATATGCAAATTGTTTCGAATATATTATCTCATTGGATTCCGAGCAGAGCCCTGTGAGTTTGTTGGGACAAATACCGTTCTCTCTGTTTCATAGATTCAAGGTCAAGAACCTTTTCCCAGGCGTCATATTGCCCCTCCAACCACAGGAGGTCAGACCCAGAGGGACCTCAGACGCTCTCTTCCCATTTTACAGTTGGGGAAATGAGGCTCAGAGGGGAGAGGCAATTTACACCAGGCCACAGAGCTGTTGGCACAGAGCTTTCTCCTTGTCAAGTGCTGTTCTCTAAAGCTGCACTCTTCAGTGTGACCATTCATCTGCTTACCGGGAAAAGAGAGAAGAGGGTACACCCAGGTGGGCCCATGACTGTATGTCCATCTATGTGTTCCTGGGGTCTGAATGCAGATAAATGCCCCTGATAAAGTTGCTTGTAAAAAGGTTCCCAACTCTCAAACCAGGGTAGGTGTTATTATAGCTAAAGAGATAATAGAGAAGGAAGGACAAGACAGGCTGACAGCGTCCTGACCATGGTAGGACCCCCATAGCTCAGGGCATGCTCCTCAACTTCAGACATTCACATCTGTCCTAGGACCTGGCAATGCCAGGTGTCCATTGCCCTCTCTAGACAGAGTTGAATCTCTCCCCACCCCCTTCTTAGGATATTTGCCTTTCTCCTAGTTTCCGACCTTAGCTGCACATTAGAATCACTTGGAAAGCTTTAAAAAATACCAATGCACATCCCACCCCAAACCAATTAAATCATATCTGTGAGGGTGGGGTCTAATAGTCTTTTTTTTTGTTTGTTTCCTGAGGAAGACTTGCCCTGAGCTAACATCCATTGCCACTCCTCCTCTTTTTTTGCTTGAGGAAGATTAGCCCTGAGCTAACATCTGTGCCACTCTTCCTCCATTTTTTTTTTGGTATGTGAGACACCTCCATGGTGTGGTTGGTGAGTGGAGTAGGTCCATGCCCAGGATACAAACCCACAAACCTGGCCGCCAAAGTGGAGTGTGTGAACTTTAATCACTTGGCCACGGGGCCAGGCCCAATCAATGTCTTTAATAGCTCCCCAGGAGAGTCTACTGTACAGCTGGAGTGAGAATTACTGTCTTAAGTGATAAGCTTGGAGTTCTAGATAATCGATCTGATAGTCAAGGAACGAGTATAGTGACAAGATGCTCCGAGTTCCCAGAGGACAATCATCCCAGAATTAGGGATGAGGTCACAGTGTCAGGATGGCCCCTCCCTGGCAATGCTCCTGGCTGTTATAGTGCTGGGAGGAGATTTAAAAGAATACAATCGGAGAAGGTTAATTTTTGTTGTTGTTCGTTAGCTTGTTTTGCAAAAGGCATAACCTTTGTTCAGAAATGTAACTCTTGGAGACACCAGTGCTCGAACTCTCTGGGGGTCCAGCCGTGACTTGAATAAAATCTTCTAAGATTTTTTCAAGCGGACCATTCCTCGTCTTCTCGGAGTTACCCCATACCCTCTTGTGATGGTTAATTTTATGTGTCAACTTGACTGGGCCAGAGGGCACCCAGATACTTGGTCAGACATTTTTCTGGGTGTGTCTGTAAGGGTATTTAGATGAGTTTAAGATCTAAATTGATAGATGGAGTAAAGCAGGTTGCCCTCCCTAATGTGAGGTGGCCTCATCCAGTTAGTGGAAGGCCTGAAAAGAACAAAAGGCTGACCTTCACCCAAGTAAGAGGGAATTTCTCCTGCTTGAGTGCCTGCCTTCCAGCTGGGACATGGGTTGTTTCCTGCCTTGGACGTGAACTGAAAGATGGGCTCTTCCTCCATCTTGAGCCTGCCAGCCTTCGGACTGGAGCCACACCATCGGCTCTCCTGGGTCTCCAGCTTGCTGACTGCGAATCTTGGAACTTGTCGGTCTCCACAGTCACGTGAGCCAATAATAAATTTCATTCCGTATATGTATGCACATCCTACTGGTTCTGTTTCTCTGGAGAACCCTGACTAAGATGCCCACAGAGGACCGTGGCATCAGGATGGGGAAAGCTGGTGGAATAACCGAACTTAATATCTCCTCAGCCTTCTCCAGCTGAGGGGTGGAGAGTGGGAGGGTGGACATGTCCGCCCAGGTGAAAGGGCTACAGGGAACCTCGTGTCACTTGGTACACACAAAATTATTACCAAAGGGATTGAATTCATAATTCCCAAGGGATGTTTCCCTCAAACTAGGGTGTTGAGGTGAATTGTCCTTTTCCACTCTCTGGATGTCAGCTGTCAGAATCAGCACCCCCTTCCTGGAATGGAAATGCAGAGGCACCAACGAACTCTTTCTGGTCCACTCCCTTTTAAAAAAATCACTATAAAATCACTAACCCAGGTCACATTACCTCGTGCCAGGTAAGCCGTAGTACAACTGAAAGGAAAATGGTTTGTTTACGTGTATTCCAATTCAGACTTGGAGCTCCTGGGGTAGGTGAGTTCTCTACAGGTGAATGTCTTTTGGTACATGTTGTGTTTACTTGTTTCCACTTCAGAGGGTGACCTTTTCCCAACCCTGACCTCTGAGTCAGGGTCCATCCTCCTGGAGCCCTTGGGTCCCCTCACATTGACCACTAGGAGCTCACTCACTGCCCTTCCAACCAGAGATGAGGACTTGTCTGAGAATTCCTTGGTGTGTAGACAGCTCCGTCTCGCCCTCTTGGCTGCTCATTGAAATCATGGGATCTGCACCCAGATGCACCGTTGGCTGGAATAACATTGCTCATGCTTTGCTTCCATCCCATCCCTTATCCTCTCTTACCCCCATACGGAATAAAGGCTCAGATTGTTCTAAAAACGTTTGCAGGAATGGCAAAATAACAATAGCTTTGGTGCCCTTGAAACGTTGCTCTTTTGTATCCCTCAAAATAAATATCTTACTTCTCAGGTGCCCCTCTTCTTAGCTCTAGGATGAGAGGACTCCAAGGGCTGTAGGAAGGTTGGGGAAAGCTCAAAACACTGATAATTTGGGAAGACAGCCAGGACAGGTAGGGTCCTGGTCCTGATGGGAAAACTCCCTTCAGAGCTGAAGCTAGATTTCTGGGTTCAAATGCTGATTTGGCCATACAAGATCTATGTGACTTTGGAAACAACACCTGTCCTCTCTGTGCCTCAGTTTCCCCTTCTGTAAAATGACTGCAATAATAATATTATCTTCTGGGGTTGTTATGAAGACTGAATGAGCTATATTGTCAAGTGCTTTTTTCACTACTTGATTTATTGTAAGTGCTATATAGGCTTTTGTCAAATAAATCCAAGTGTTTGGTAATAAATCTTGGATATTATTGTCATTATTCCCAACGTCCAGCTAAGTGACCTGTAAGCAGCTGGGGCTTACACAAAGGTCTGGTTGTCCATCCCTTGAGATGTTCTCACCTTTGGGCAGCCGAACTGGGGTCTCACAGCCTGGCTGGGTGGAGTTGGCCCTGCCAGTCCTGGGGGCATTCTCACCTGCAAGAGGGGGTTTCCCCACTATGCAGCCAGGTGCGCCAGACCCCTCTCCCCCAACCATACTGACCTGAGCTCTCCATGGGAGCCTGGGGAGTGTGTGAGGAGGATGTGGTTGTCTCAGGCGGCAGAATGGAAAGTAACGTGGTTGTTTTTCTGCACAGAAGTGGTTCTGCAAAATAAGAGGCAGTTAGCATAAGTGGTGGGGAGGTACAGAAAGTACATTTGGGGAGTGAGAGGCTCCTGGGTGACCTCGGCTTCTAGTACGCTGAAGGGAAGCCCAGATTTATTTAAGAAATACTTATATGGTGCTTGCCATGTGCCAGACACTCTTCTAAGCACTTAAAAACTATCAACTCTTTAATATGAATATTAGCCTTACGAGGCAGCTACTATTTTCTTCCCACTCTACAGATGGGGAAACGTACACAGAGAAGTTACAAATCTATTCAAGGTCCAGTAGCTAGTAAGTAAAGGAATGAGTATTTGAACTCAGACCATCTGGGTGTAGAGCTCACACCCTCAACCATGACCCCAGGCTGCCCCACTGTGACCCCAGCAGGAGGGACTCCCGAAGTCTGCTTCCCAGAGCAACAAAGCCCACAACTGAAAAGCAGAGGAATTCTGAACAAATCCAAGAGCTTGTTCTTTGAAGAAAAAAAGAAACATACCTGGGAAAGCTGATCCAGAGAGAGAGAGAAACAGAGATAATCTTGGGAATGACAAATGCTTGTAGCAAAAAGAAAATCTGAACCCTCTATATCATTCATGGTTTTCTAGGAAAATAAAAATGACTTGAAAGGCTATAGAAGAGTTAGAAAAACTGCTCTATTAGAAACCAGGGAGGAAACAGAAAGCTATCAAAGAGCTAGGTCTAAAAAAGGGTGTTGTCTGACTCAGATGGTTCCACTGATAAGTTCTTTCAAACCTGCAGAGTAAAGAAAACTTCTATGTTATTTAACCTGTTCCAAAGCATAGAGAACAAAGGAAAGAGTCTCTGAAGAAGCCAGTTTACCCTTGATACCAAAATCTAATAAAGAGAGTTTTAGAAAAAATAGATGAAGCACTTCACATCCGTTGGGATGGCTATTTTAGAAAGAAAAACAGCAGAAAATAACAATTGTTGGCAAAGATGTAGAGAAACCAGAGCCCTGGTGCCTTGCTGGTTGGAACGTAAAACGGTGCAGCTCCTGTGGGATAGAGTCTGGCAATTCCCCAAAAGGGTGAACATGGAATCACCATATGACCCAGTGATTTCACTTCCAGGTAAACACCCAAAAGAATTGAAAATAAGGACTCTAATAGATACTTGCACACCAATGTTGATAACAGCATTATTCAAAATAGCCAAAAGGTAAAAACACTTCAAATGTCCACCAACAGACGAATGGATAAACAAAATGTGGCATATACATACAATGGAAAATTATTCAGCCTTAAAAAGGAATGGAATTCTGATACCTGCTACAACGTTGATGAACCTTGGAAACATCGTGCTAAGTGAAATAAGTCAGACACTAAAGGAGAAATATTATATGATTCCACTTTGATGAGGTAGCTAAAATAGGCAAATTCACAGAGACAGAAAGTGTAGAGAGGTTACTAGAGGCTGGGGAGATGGAGGAATAGGAAGTTATTTTTTAACAGGTACAGAGTTTCTGTTTGGGACGATGAAAAAGTTCTGAAAACAGATAGGGGTGATGATTGCACAACATTGTGAAAGTACTTAGTGCCACTGAATTTATACTTTTAAATGGTTAAACTAGTCAATTTTATGGTATGTATATTTTACCACAATAAAAAAAAAAATAGGTCAGGTTCACCTATAAATATAGAAGTACAATAGTAAAATAAATATCAACTAATCGAATTCAATGTGTTAAAATTATAATGTACTGTGAATAGTTTTAGCCTTTTATAATCATAGAAATGAATATTAAAATCTAAGATACCATTGGAAAAGATTAGAAAAGATAATAACATCAACTATTGGTGAGGATATGAGAAAATTTGCTGTCTTACTCAGCTCGTAAGAATGGAAATTGGCATAGCTTTTCTGGAGCACAGTTGGGCAATAAGTATCAAAATTCAAAATGTGCATACTTTTTGTCCAAGTAATTCCACTTTTAGGAATATATCTCAAGGAAATAATTGGACCAGTTAATAAGGAGCGTGTACAACAATGTTCATTGAAACATTGTTTATAATGGAGAAAAACCAGGAGAAACTTAAAGACCCAATTATAGAGTGTCAATTAAATGAATTAGAGTAATCTATGCAGTGGAATACTATGCAGTCACAAAAATGATGGTGTATATCTGATTTACTAAATTGAAAATAAATATTTCAGAAGTATTAATTTTAAACGGTAGGTAACAAAACAGTTAACACATTTCTAACACATTAATTTTAAAAAGGATATTTCTAAATTTGTATGTACACGTTGAAAAAAGTCAGGAAAAACTGAACATCAAAATGTGACACTGGAGGTTCTAGATCTGGTTAAGATGGAATAAGTACTCTCCACTGTAACTCTCTCACTGAATGCAACTAAAAACTCTGGATAGTGTGTAGGCAACAGCTGTCCAAGGATTCCGAGAAGCAAATGATAGCAGGCAGAGTGGGAAAGGAAACCAGAACTTGAAGCAAGAACAATCTGGCAATGAGTTTTCTGCGTTTCCCCCTCTGTTATACCCTGGCCTGGATACAAAGGAAGCCTGAAACTCAGAAGTGCACACAGAGGGCCGACAAAAAGAGCTAGAAGAAAAGCCTTTTTCTGGTCTGAGGAGCAGAAAACGGGCCCCTAAATATTAGAGAGATGGGAGAATTCCTTCTTTCTTTTCATTTTCTCCTGCTGTAGCCCCCAGGCAATCCTGTGACAGCAGCAGCAGCGACAGCGGCTGTGCAGGTGCCTAAAGCTCTGAGGAGGGGCAATTCTTCTTTCTAACTAGAGGAACTGTGGTCCCAAGGGCATGGGAAGAAGCCTTATTGCTTGTTTCCCTCTATCAGAGGAACAAAACCCAGAAATAACAAACAGAAAATGCCTAAGAAAATAGTAGACCTAAATAAAAACATATCAATAATTACATTAAATGTGAATGGTCTAAACACACCAATTAAAAGACAGATTGTCAGCATAGATTTCTTTTAAAAAAGTAAAACAAACCAACTCTATGCTGTCTACAATAAATTCACTTCAAATTTAATGCCGTAAATAATTTAAAGGAAAAGGACAAAAAAAAAATACTATGCAAATACTAATTAAAAGAATGCTGAAGTGGCGATATTAATATGAGACAAAGTAGATTTCAGAGTAAGGAAAATTACCAGGAATGAAGAGGGACGTTACATAATGACAAAAGTGTCAATTCATGAAGAAGATATAACAATTGTAGACATGTATGCACCTAACAACAGGGTTTGCAAATATATAAAGGAAAAACTAATAGAACCAAACACGAGTAGACAAATCTGCAATTGTAGCTGTTGATTTTAGCAGTCCTCTCTCAGCAAGCGATAGAACATGCAGGTGGAAAATCAGCAAGGATATATAAAAACTGAATAATGTATCAACTAACTGAATTTAATTGGTGCTTATGTTCATACAAAAATCTGTTCACAGATATGTACAGCAGCTCTATTCATAATGGCCCCAAACTGGAAACAACCCACTGCCTTCAACAAGTGAATGGATAAGCAAACTGTGATACAGCCAAAAATGGAACACTCAGCAATAAAAATAGACAAACTACTGATATTATAATGACAAGTGTGAATCTCAGAGACATTATGCTGAGTAAAAGAAGCCAGGCTCAAGAGGTTACTGGCTGTGTGCTTCCATTTACATGACATTCTAGAACAGGAAAAACTATAGCGTCAGAATATAGATGAGTGATTGTAAGGGGTTGGGGGTAGGGAGGAGGATTGACTAAAGACGAGCAAGAGGGAAATTTTGGGGGCGATGAAACTGCTCTGGATCTGATAGTGGTGATGGTCACAATAATCTATACGTACGTTAAAATGTATAGAACTGTATAGCAAAAATAGTCAATTTTACTGTAAAAAAAAAAAAAAACCCACATCTTAATTTCTGCTGACATCAAGTGCTTATATGCTTATATAGTTTTTACCAAATCCTAGAATTTACCAAAAAAAGGAATGCCCTTTGTATCTTCAACATTACAAGAATATTTTAGTATGTTCAGTGGTGCTCTCACAGCTTTATGAAAGCAGACCATTTACAGACAAGACACCAGCACCGGTGAGGAAGACGCCTGGGGAACCGCGGCGGAAGGCGATAGACATTTCAATATACACCCTTTTTTTTTTTTTTTTTTACCATTTTAATTTTTTTTAACTTGTGCATGTTTTTAGATATCTTAAAAGCAAATAAGCCTCTATATCCAGCTACCAGCTAATAGGAAATACAGAACACGCTGATGCATACTATCAGGATGAAAAATCCAGACTCCGAGAAACTCTACGGAACAAATGCTCTGTTTCCTTTAACAAATAAATTGCCGGGAAGGTGGGGCGGTGGTGGGGAGGACAGACAGGAGGATAAACGGGAGGGGGACCTATAGACTAAAAGGAACTTACAGGACGTTATCAACCAAGTAAATGTGTGAACTTTGGATCCCTGTTCAAAGTATTACAAAAAACTGTTACATTAAAGGCAATCGGGAATTTGAACACTACAGAAGTTTGGGGGGAGGGAGATAAGAGCACTGCAGTTATGTTTAAAAAAAGAGCAGTCTTTTAAAAAAATTAGACTTTAACTTTTGAGATAATCGTAGATTCACATGCAGTTATAAGAAATAAAACAGGGACATCCTTTACCCAGTTCCCCGGATGGTAACATCTTGTGACACCATATCATAAGATACGCAGTATCATAACCAGGATATTGACATTGAAGCAATTTCGTTTAGATTTCCCCGGTTTTACTTGTATTTATTTGTGTGTGTGAGTCTCTTATCTTTTAATGAGACACATTAAACTACAAAAAAAAAGCGACATCACTTACCCACAGGCAGTGGGGTTACAGGTAATTTTTACTTTAATACATTTCTTGCATTTAATACATCTTCTGATTTCTTAATATTAAGTATGTTTGACTTTATTAAGTGACAGATGGCACACAAAAGAGAGCGATAACATCTAAGTTGTGAA